TCAAGGGAAGGAGGTCTATCTACCCTTTGCTGGACTCTAAGGAGTTTTTTAGGGTTTAACACCCTGTTTATTTTTTCAACCTGCCCAGAGGTTGTCTGTCTGACACAGTAAATAAAGTTTTCAATTTATGTCTAAAAGTTGAGCTATTGAGAGATTTTACCTATGAAAGCTGGGTTATTATTAGACCCCATTGCTAGTGGGAAACCAGATGGGGGGCAGTTCCTGGAGTAGTTTCAGTCCAGGTGGGAAATGCTTTTACCCACCCAGAGGCATAGGCCTCAATCCCAGCTTTCGGGAGGTGAAGACAAACAGATCTCTGACTTCGAGACCAGCCTGGTCTACAGAGCAAGTTCCAGGACAGTTGGGGCTACACAGAAAAACCCTGTCTCAAAAACAAACAAACAAACAAACAAACATAGCAGGAACTTGTAACCTTTCCTGACAGGCTGAGTCTCCATGAAGTCATTTTTCCCAGAGTTCACCAGGGTAAAGGCTCTCTGTTCTGGATTTACTTGAACAGAAGCCTGGCATCTAGCTGAAAACATTCTGTTCCAGGCTGTCCATTCCAGTATAGCACACCTCGGTCTGATCTTCTCAGGAGGTTTTGTGGACCCTGGTGAAGGTCAGTTACCAGAGTCCTGCGAATTGTTTCTGGGAAAATGTTTTTTCCTTTTGATGTCCTTCATCAATCTGTAGGTTTGAGCTGTCTAGATCTTCTTTATGCATTCTGTATTTTCTCTTGGTTGTACCAGAGTACAACCTGGCTTGGAATATGTCTCCAGAATATCAACAGGCCCACGGGTCTTAGGGCCACTTGTCCAGGAGCCAGGCAGTGGTCCAGTTACCTCTTGCTCGGGAGTCATTTTTTTGATGTCCTTAGCTTAGCAATGGAGGACAGAAACTCATAGGGGAAGCCAAATAGTCTCAAGTAGGGCCAAGAATTCCTCTGTTTTAAAAATGTCTTTCTCTCAGCAGTGAGAAGTCCTCTTTTCTCTAATGGTTACACCATGGACATGCACAGGCACAAAAGCATAGTGACCGTGTATGTGGTAAAAACCTGGGCCAGAGCGATCAGTTCTGCTCTTTGGGTTGAGGTTCCTGACCCTACGGCTTGAGCCCAAACTCTTCGACTCTTCCTTGGGTCAGTGGTGCCTGACTGGGCAGTAGAAGGTTCTGTGGATCAGGCTGGCTCCATCTGGCTGGTAGCAAATCTAGGAAGTAGACTCTCCCTTCCTCCCCACTCACCCTGGGACTCCCCAATGCCCCCAATGCAGCCTTAATCAGCCAACCTGAAGCCCTTCCTCTCCTCCTCACTGAAGGGGAGGATGGAACCTGTCTTCCCCACATCACCAGACTCAGGAGACCAGACACTTGTAACAGAGTTTGTCAGAGTACAAAGTCAGAGTGGTTTGTTGATATACCTTAAGGTATCTCAAATGGTGACAGACATCACCAAGTGGCCCTCAAGTCAACTGGTCCTGAACTCGGGGATCTGCCTGCCTCTGCCTCTTGAGTGCTGATTAAAGGTGTGTGCCGCCATGCCTGGCTCCTTTTGCTTCTTTGAGGCAAGGTCTCCTGAAGTCTGCTGGCTTTGAACATGACCTTCCCGCCTTCACCTCCTGATCACCAGTGTGTGCCACCACACAACTTTTCTTTGTTTGGTGGGGTGTGTGCACGGGGGTCGTAGTTTGGATACAGAGTCTGACTATGTAGCCTAGGCTGGTTTCTTACTCTCAACCCTCTGCCTGAGGCCAGCTAACTCCTCTAATTTCTCTCCCCCTGGCCTTTCCCACAGTTTCCTAGGACTGAACGGTTTGTCTCCTGGAGAATGTCTGCTAATCTTATGAAAGGCAATGTGAACTGTCAACTGGACAGAATCCAGATCACCTGAGAGATGAACCTTTATGCAGACTGTGGGTAATTATCTCGATTACATTAATTTATGTGGGGAGACCCATTGTAATTGTAGGTGAGACTTTCCCAGGGCAGGGATGAGGGCGAGATGGCTTAGCAGGTAAGGGCACTTGCAGTCAAACTTGAAAATCTGAGTTCAACCCCTGGGACCCAAAGGTGGAAGGAGAGACCCGACCAACTCCTGTAAGTTGTCCTCTGACCTCCACACATGTATCATGCCTCAGTGCCTCTACAAATATATAAAATCTTTTAAAATTAATAAAATGGTGAAAGTGAGCTAAGCACCAGTATTCATTCACTTTACTCTTTGCCTCCCCTCACCTTGAGACAGGGTTTCTTTGTGTAGCCCTGGCTGTCCTGGAACTCACTCTGTAGACCAGGCTGGCCTCGAACTCACAGAAATCCACCTGCCTCTGCCTCCTGAATGCTAGGACTAAAGGATTCCAACACCACCACCTGGCTATTCTTTGCTTTCTTATAAAAAGATTTTGGGGGGAGGGGGTGACAGGGTCTGTCCCAGTTAGGATTATTATTGCTATGATGAAACACCATGACCAAAAGCAAGTTGGGAAGGAAAGGATTTATTTGGCTCATATTCCCACATCATAGTCTATCACCGAAGGAAGTCAGAACAGGAACTTAAACAGGGCAGGAATCTGGAGGCAGGAGTTAGTTGATGGAGAGTTGCTGCATACTGGCTTGCTCTCTGGCTTGCTCAGTCTGCTTTCTTATAGAACCCAGTACCAGCAGCCCAGCATCCCTCTGTGCTCCATCCTGTGCCGAGACTGAACACCACCCAAGCCCTCCTTCCACCATTGCCCACACCCGCCATCCTGGTTGTTTATCACTGGCTCCGAGTTTCCTCCTGCTCCTTCAGCGCAGCCTGAAGCTAGAGAGGCACTTGAAGAGCAGAAGCACAATCTCCCCCAGATGTGTCAGTCAGAAGGCTGTGGTATAGGGCCATCAGGAGGAGGCTGTGGTGTAGGGCCATCAGGAGGAGGCTGTGGTGTAGGGCCATCAGGAGGAGGCTGTGGTGTAGGGCCATCAGGAGGAGGCTGTGGTTTAGGGCCTTCAGGAGGAGGCTGTGGTTTAGGGCCATCAGGAGGAGGCTGTGGTGTAGGGCCATCAGGAGGAGGCTGTGGTGTAGGGCCTTCAGGAGGAGAAGGCAGTCCTTCTGATGTTGGGAGGACTGAGGGCTAGGACAGCGCTACCAGAGACAGGCTTACAGCTCCAAGCCCCTCCAAGAGAGGGATGACTGCAAGTCTCAGAGGAAGAGATTGATGGCCTGGGGTGGGGGGTCCAACAACTTCCAGAGAAGATGTTATCTCCAAAATTCACTTCAGAATTATAATCAGGCTACCAAACAAACAACAAAAATACAAAAACAAAAAAACATCCTCAGGGCAGGTGAGATGGGTCATCAGGGAAAGGCGCTCACTATGCAAGCCTGGCAACCTGAGTTGTATCCCCAGAACCCACAAAAAGATGGAAAAAGAAAACCAATTCCACCAAATTGTTCCCTGACCTCCATCTGCACATCATGGCGGGAATGCCCACAAACATAAATTTTAGCACATGTCCCATGGGCTGCAAGGTGAACACCCCTCCCAAGGTCTCAGGTTACAGGTTTACACTCAGTAACAGCAGCAGCTATGCTCCTAACCAACTCTGGACAATTGCATACTTCAAGGACTGGCGGCAGCTCCCAGGAATCTGCAGTGACCAGCCTCCTGCCGTTAAAATTGCTGCTCTTGGTTCAAAGGAAAAGCCTTTTATTGGTCCTAATATTGCAACACCAGGAAACAGCACAAGAGAGTGTTGTGGCAATTGTGTATGTAGCATGCAAAGGAAGCACTAAATCCATACCAATCACAAGTTTCCAGTTATTGACTTCCCACTAAGTTCCAAGGATTGAAGGCCAGTCAGTGAAGGTATCCAGGCTTGGGTCTGGCAAGCTGTCTAATACAGTCGTGCCTGGAGAAAGGCCTTCTAGGGGCAGGAGCATAAACTCCATCCTGGGTTGACATGCTTCAGTTAGCAAGAACAGTTAGCCAGAAACAGAACTACAGAAGCCAAAAAGCAAGGTTGATACATTTAGAGACTTTCCTAGAACTATGGGCTTTAATGGATTAGGTCTTTGTTTTCATTTTGGCAGGTGGTGCAGTCTATGGGCTGATTTTCATGGCTCAACTGGTACTCCCAACATGGCCTCAGTTGTGGTAAGGTCTGGGAGTCTGTTACAGCATAAGTTTGTGCAAGCAGCCATTGATTAGCTTGGGGAATTCTATCCCCAGGGGCCTGAGGTAATATGGCAAGAGGGGAGGATCTCCTCTGGATCCTGGGTCAGGGCTGTAGGGAATCATGAATGGACATAGCACCAGTGGGCACACTTGGCCCCAAAGAATGACTATCCCTGCCCTAGTTAATCTTCCAGTGAAAAGAAATCTCAGCATCTTTGCATGTATTTTTCCTGCCTGTTAGGAAAGCTAGGGGACACATGGGACTTTCAGTGTCTGTGCAAACTCAGAGGAAGCAAAGACTTAATATTTAGAAGCTGCTGGGATGGGCCTGAATTGGTCTCCCAAGGACACAAGGATGGTAGAAACAAGACTAGCCTGGGGTCTTTAGTCAAGTTGGTAGCAGTTTCAGCTGCCATCAGGTTTATGAGCTGGGTTTTAACTGTGGGCAGGCAAGGGAGAGGAATGTAGTGTATGAGTGATGTTGACTGCTGACCTCACTGGAGGGCACTAGCTGTGTTCTACTGCCTCTAGCCAGGAGACCCATGGGAAAAAGTGCCACTGTCCCAGGCTTTCACTAACAGTGGAACTCTGCCATATAAAAAAACTGGACTGAGATATCCCAGACCTTGTGACCACCAGTAAATGAGAAGCCTGGCAAACATACAGAATTCAAATTAGCAATGTAATTAGAGGCACACAGACCAGCTGGGAAAACACAACAGACCCATCTAACCATTGATTATCACACAGTTCAGGGACCCGAGGTGTTGGAGTTGACCAGCTGCAGTCACTACTGAGCCCAGAGTCCTGTGCCTATCCAAATACGCAGTGTGGGTTTTTCTTTTTGGTGGCAGGGTTGGCTTTTTTTTTTTTTTTGAGGTAGGGTCTCATGCAGCTTAGGCTGGACTTAGATTCAGTGAGAGACTCTGCCTGTACCTGATCCTCCTCCACTAGCTTCCCAAGTGCTGGGATTACAGGTGTATATACCACAACACACCTGACTTTTAGCTTGATATGAGGTCTGTTTAGCCCTGGATGATCTTAAAATGCAGTGATTCTCCTGCCTCAGCTTCCGATGTTAAGACACTACGTATGAGCAGCATGCCTGTCTTATTTTGATGGACAGGGACTATATATCATCTCCACAGTCCATTCAGGCTTGGGAGTCTGGGAGCCATGAACCTCCACGCACATGCCCACCATGCTGTCCTGTTCTAGCCACATCAAAAACAAAAAAAACAAAAACCAACCAAACAAGAAAACAACAATAACAAAAACATAAAGCAACCCTCAGGCTCTGTCACTTGGCTTTGGCTCAGGAAAGCCTTGGTGACAGTGAGTCCAATGGCTGGCAAATATCTCTCAGGCCAGCCTCCACTTAGCCCACAGCTCCTAGCAAACCAGAGCTACCTCCATCAGCTACTGGAAGGCCAGGGCCCATCACATCATGTCCCACTGGCTGGTCTGAAACAGAGTCCACACAGGGACCTTGTGACCAGAAGGCAGGCAGCTGGATGACTCAGAAATGATTGTGGAATTCAAAAATAGGAAGCTAAAAATATGTAGGGTGGCTGGCTTCTAGGAACAGGCGGGTCTGTTGTTCCAACCCTTGGTGGGGGATGGGCAGAAGTCAAGGTCCTGCTGGGAGCTGAGGAGTGAAGGGCAGGCAAGGTGGACAGTCACCGGTGAGTGCGGAGTTCTCTGGTCATTAACGGGGGTGGGTGGTGGGTGGGATAGTGCTGAGGTGTCCAGGGCAAAACTGGACACAAGCTGGGGAGATGCAGAGATTTGTGGGGTGCTGACCCTGTCTTAATCCCCCAACATGGCTGTAAAAACTCTACAAAGGGATAAATTCCTCTGGCGGCCCACAAGCCCTGTAGCAGTGACAACTGAGACATGATCTAAGCTGTCACTTGAAGAGGGAAGCGGAATGCAGCAAATGGCACAATGAAGGAGCTCCAAAAGCCATGGAATATTCTCTTAAATCTAGAAGGACAGAGGCCTGCTCATATCCTTATTGAGCTCTGGAGCACCATTTCGGACTCCTGAGCTGTAAAAAAAAAAAAAGCGCAACATGCACATCCACCAACCTGTGGCTTGCTACAGAGCACTTAAACGGCATCAGTAAGCATCTCAGTAGGGCTGGCCAGGCTGCCCAGTGTGGACCCTAAAGACTTGGGCCTGAGTGAGGCTACACTGGTGATCAGGGCACTTGAGAAGCAGAGGCAGGAGGATCAGGAAGGAGTTCTAAGTCATTTCAGTTACACCGTGAGTTTCAGGTCTAAGTCATATCTGGGTTACATGACACCGTCTCAAAGCAAAATCCCTCAAAATGATGGTAGGGGGAAGGGACTAGAGAGGACCACAGCAAATACCCACCAGAGACCTTGCACAGGCCTATGCATATTCTAGGGAGCCGAGATAAGAGGGTTGTGGCTGTAGCCAGGTGGGACACGGGGTCAGAGAAAACAGGATGAGTTCCCAGAGAAGACAGGAGAGGCCTCAATGGCCAATAGTTTGAGCGAGGCAGAACAGCCAGATGGACAGTTGCTGGGCTGAAAAGCACAGTAGGCTCGAGGCTGGGGAGGCTGCAGCCCAGGAACGCAGTAGTGAAGGGATCAACAATAAATGAGAAGGGGGCTGAGGAGAGCCCACGTATGCTGAGGGGTCAGCTGCCTGGTGGGGTGGGTAGAGCAGAGAGGGGGAAATGAGGGCACAGAACCTCAGGAAATGTTTGATCAGTGTTTGAGCACAGGCCCCAGGCTGTTCACTTATGAAGCAAACACTAGGCTCAGGATAGTGGGGTGCAGCTCTTCACTCTGTCAGGTGAACCTCGGGTCTAAGAAAACTCCAGACACAAACTTTTCAGATAGTGTCTTTCCATGTAGCTGGTCTGAGTTTGCTATGTAGGCTAGCTGTCGCGAACTCACAGATCAGAGATCCACCTGCCTCTACCTCCTTGAGTGCTATGATCAAAGGTGTACCCAGCCAAAGGTTGAAAAGCTTGGTGATCTAGTGTGGCAGACAGGGCCCCCTGCTGGTGTGAAGCAAAGCAGACAGGAATTGTCATCACCCCATTCACAACTAGCACCTAGGGCTGTAAAGACAGCAGACAGCCTGCTGGACTTCCAAGATCAGAAGGGTCCTTAACACAGTGGAAATTCCGAGGGACACAGGTGTTTCCAGGTAAAGACACTTGTTTTTGCGAGAAGGCCTCATGTGCAGCCCTCATTCATGTTGCCATGGAATGCAATTCTCTAAAGTGCTAGAATTTCAGAGTGAGCCATGATATCTAGGCTCAGGGCACTTGTTTAAAGACCATGTTAGAAGCAGGGGAGCTACCCTTTAAATCAGTCCTTCCCAGAGGCAGCAGTTTCTGTAGGCTGTGAACTTTAGAATCAGTTCTCGCAGGAGCTGATGCACAGGGTACGGTGTGCGAGGCTCCCGCAAGTACACTTGTTTGCAGGTCAGGACTGCTCTGATGGCCTCTAAGGAAATGGGACAGATGTCCTAACGGCCAACAGTAGGGCAGTCAAGTGCTCTGAACTGAGCTGGTGTCCCAAAGGACAGGAAGGCTCTCAAACTTTCAGCACATGTGGCCTTAGCTCTAACTTCCTCCTTGCAGGACGAGGAACTTCTCTCAGGGGAAGGAGTAGCAGTGGAGAACACCAAAGGAAGTTCCATGAGTCCCCAAAGTTGAGAAGAGGTTCTATACATAACAGCTTTACTTCAGGAGCTAGTTCAGTGAGTGGGCTCGTGAGTGGGTCTGGTCTGGATCAACGAGGTCTTTGTGGCACTGGGAACAGAAGGCACTTGGTAATGCATCATGGCGTGTGTGTAGTCCACCGTGGCTCCTGTCAGGAGTGGCAGGCTTGTCACGGTGCTTGTGAGGAAGACACAGTTGAGTCCCACAGCACTTGGGACACATTCTCACTTCCAGTCACTGATCCCCGGGTCTGCAGTGCTTCTTCCACCAGGTCAGCCACCAGGTTCAGCTGACACATCCGCAGTGCGTTCACCAGTTCAGACACTGTGGCTTTCTCTCTCTCGGCAATCTTCCAGACCCTCAGAGTCTCCCTTACCTGCTCACTCAGGCTTCGGGGGTACCTCTCCTCAATCCCGTCAATTTTGACCTCAGACAATTTTAGCACGCGGGCCAGTCTCTTCCAGTCTCTCCCCACATTGTCACACACGATGTCAAATGCCACCTGCAGATCTAAGAGGGAAAACAGCAGACTTACAGAGGAGCCGGGGGAAGTCTTCCCATGGGCCACTAAATGTGAACTGAGCACTTCAAAATCAGCGTCACTAAAGCCGGCAGGTCCCGTGGAGGCAGAGATACTTAGCAGCCCAGGAGCTACTACAAGGGACCTACATTGGCCTCCTAACCTGCCTAGTCACACCCCCTCAGAATGAGTCCCAGTGAGCTGCAGCTTAAAAGATCAGACACTGAAGAAAGGCTGAGGAGTCAGAGGGAGAAAAACTGGGGCCACCTTCAAACCCTCAATAACAGGCTGGCTAATGTCCCCCAAAGCTACAGTCACCTCATTCTACACCATGACCTTTGCCACACTCTGGAGCCCCTGGTAGGCATGGGCAACGTGGAAGAAGATGACTAAGTGGTCCAGGGAGTCCTGGGCAGTGGCTGAGAACCCCTTACTGGATTCCTGCAACAATACTAAACACTTAAATGCCTTGGTGATGTGAATGCATAACCCGTTTTCTTGTGTAACTTGTACACACAAAGTACAAGTAACTGGTACACGGGCAGAGGAAACAATCTGTTTCAAATAGTTCTGTGTCATGGCATGTGGTGTCGGTACTTCGGGGGTGGGGTCTGATTTTGCTGCATTTTAGATTTCAGAGCTCCTGACTCTTCACAGTGCCAAAGGCTCCTACAAGCAAGGCTTAATCCCTCAGAAGTGGATCCAATCAAGAAAAGGAGAGCAGATCAGGATAGCTCTGAGCTCACCGGTGGGTCAGTCCACCGATTCCCACCTTGATGGTGTTACTGGAAGGTGGTGGAAAGCCTCAGAGGCACTGCCTACTCAGAAGCAGAGGCTGTATGTTGGGGGAGTGTATTCTGGCCCAAGCTCCTTCCTGGCAGCCATGAGGTCCCACCTTGATGGTGTTACTGGAAGGTGGTGGAAAGCCTCAGAGGCACTGCCTACTCAGAAGCAGAGGCTGTATGTTGGGGGAGTGTATTCTGGCCCAAGCTCCTTCCTGGCAGCCAGGAGGTAATCAGCTTTGCTCCACCATGCCCTCAGCAGCCTGAATTCCTGCCTCACTGCAGACCAAGAGCAACGGAGGTCACCTTTGTCCCTTTAAATGGCTTCTCGGGTATTTGTCACAAGTGAGGAAGAGTCTAACAGATGCTCGACTTGCATCCACACCCCAAGGCCAGATTGGTGTGGCTCAGTTGTGGCTGCCAGGCACTGTGCATTATGGGAAGCCATAGTGCTTCCTCTCTACTGCAAAACGAAAGCAACAGAGGATAACCAGGCACTGTGCACTCTGGACCGGGAAGCTCAGCCGCAGCGCAGGGCTCCTTTGGCTAGGAAGCACACTGCTTGGCCACAGACACTCCCACTATGGAAATGGGGACGAGGAGCAGGCACACCTTGACCTTTGCCTACTTTCTTCAGCTCTACCCTCAATGGACTTAGGGTGCCTTAGACACATCCATTTCTTAGCCGAGTTTTCAATTGACCCAGGGAGTGGAGAACCAAGCACTGGAGGTCCGAGGCGACTTCATCTTGGTGCTGGGCAAGCGGTAGGAGAGCGAGCACCTCCTTAGCACTAGCAAGACTACGGGTTCAACCCTGGCACTGGAAGTAAGACCCGCACCGGATCCCCCACCCGAGAAGTGGGCGTGCCCTAGAGTCCCTCCGAGTAGTAGCACACAAAGGGCACCTTGAGGCTAGGGTACTGGCCAGGCTTCCCCGCCCATTTCCCCGCCTCCTCCCGCCCCAGAGCCCACCTGCCTCCCCCGGCGCGGTCGAGACCGCCAGCCCCGCTTCGAAGTTGTCCAGGCGTTGCAGTAGGTCGTGCCTGCGCAGCGAGGCCAGCAACTCGCGCAGCAGCCCGGTATGATTGCGGTCCAGATCGTTCTGCTCCAGCAGCACCGAGAACAGGTCCAGGCCGCTCTGCATGTGCTCCAGCTTGCGTTTGCCCACGCGCTCACGGCACAGGAACTTGAGCTCCATCAGATCGCTGCTCGACAGGCTGCCGGAGAGGGAGTGCAACAGCACCAGGAAGGGGTCCATGGCAGTGACGCGCCGGGCTACCCTCAGCGATTCCACACAGGAAATCACCGCGGGCTTTCCCGCCCAGCGCCTCGCGAGAATTCCAGATCCCACGCATGCGCCTCGCGTGTGGCCGTAGCCGTTTCCGCCCCGGTTGGCCGTGGCACTCTCGGTAGTTTTGACACCTGCGGCTCTGTGGCTTCAGCGCTTGCGCACCGTGGTTCCCGGGGGAGGCGGGGGTCGAGAAGGACAGATCGTTAGCCGGCAGTGTAAGGGCGATGGTCTGGGTGGGCTCTTGAGGTTCCAGGTTTACCTCTGCGGAGCTGTGCAGCCCTACTGTGTGTGGGGGGCTGGGAGGGTAGCTGAGGGCCGCAGGGATGCTTACTGTGGCTGGATCACATTCAGGCACGATTTTTTTTTTTTTAAAGATTTATTTACAGACTGGAGAGATGGCTCAGGGGTGAAGAGCACTGGCTGTTCTTTCTTTCTTTGAACTCTCAGCACCTGCATGATGGCTCACAACTATCTGTAACTTCAGTCCCAGGGGCTTTGACACCCTCTTCTTGCAGGCACACATATGGTACGCAGATGAAATACACACACACACACACACACACACACACACAGAGAGAGAGAGAGAGAGAGAGAGAGATTTCAAAAACATTAAATATTTATTTTTGTTGTGTTAATGAGCATTTGTAGTTTAAGTGCCCCTCATGGGTGTAGTGCCCACTGGGTTCAGAAGAGGGTGTGGGTTCTCAAGAGCAATGGTTCCCTACCTTCCTAATGCATCGTCCCTTTAAGGCAGTTCCTCATATTGTGGTGACCCCAACCATAAATTATTTTCGTTGTTACTTCATAACTGTAATTTTTGCTATCGTTGTGAATCATAATGTAAATATCTGTTTTCTGATGATTTGAGTGTAGGGAAAAGGGCCAGTCAAAGAAACACACTCTGGCTCAGAGACCCGAGTCAGTGAAAGGAATATTTTAGCCCTGAACCCAGAATTAAAGAAACACACCCTGACTCTGAAACCAGTGCCAAAGAAACACACTTTGACCCTAGAATCAGAGCCAGTGAAAGAAATACACCCTGGCCCCAAAACTAGAGCCAAAAAGCTAAAAAAATTAAAAAGCATAAAAAAAAAAGCCAGTGAAAGAAACACATTTTGGCCCTGAAATTAGTCATCTCTGCCCCTGACCAATTAAACTAATCCCTGAGCAGGGAAAGCTAATCAATTCCTCTTCTCCCTGGGAAAATGCTGTCCCTAAGAAACCCTATATAAGCCCTGCAAACAGAGGCAGACTGAAGCCTCTTTAGCTGGGGGAGCCTTCTAGCAGAGTTGTTAGAACTTCGCTGGGGAAGCTGGAGATGGAGGAGCAGAGCAGAGCAGAGCAGGGCTGTAACACTTTCACAGGGGAAACCTCCCCCTAGCAGAGTGTAGTTGTTACACTCAGGGTACCTGAACCAAACTGTAACACCTTCTCTGGGGGAGCTCTCTTCTGTGAGCAGAGCTGTTACATCGGGGAAGCCTTTCCCTAGAGTTGCACTGTAAACTGCCACACTTACTGTGACCTGTGCTATTCCCTGGCTCCTGACTGCCAGAATGCTCATCCACCCGAGCTGTAACACTCAGCATTCCCTGACTCCCGTCTTCCAGGATCCCTTTCCATCTGAACTGCAATGCTTACACTGAGGTGGCCCCCTGTGAAAGGATCATTTGATCTAAACGAGTCATGACCCACAGGTTGAGAAACACTGCTCTATAGAACTAGAGATATGTTTGGTTTTGAGCAGCTGCGTGGGTCCAGGTCCTTGGTAAGAGCAACAAAATGCTCTTAACTGTTGAGCCATTTCATGGGCCCAGTAATGTGCATATTAAAATCAGTAGAAGAGAGGACCCAGAATCTCGTCATCAGAGAAAGCGACGGAGGTCGTGGGGAAGTTAACTACTGTGACTCCAGCTTTCATGAACAACACAGTATGTTCCCTGTAGCCATCACAATTACTATGTACAAGTTAAAAATAAAGCAGGGGCTCTCGTTCGAGGGCTTCAGTGGGCAAAGTGCCTGCTGCACAAGCATGTGGACCTGAGTTCAGATCTTGACATCCACATAAAAAGCCAGAGAAGGTGGTGCCCATCTGTAACCCCAACTCTAATGGAGACAGGTGTATTCCTGGTGCTCAGTGACCAGCCACCCCTGCTGAGTGGCTGAGGTGCAGATTCAGTGAGGCCCAGCATACACAGAATCTCATGTAAGCGGAGTTGTCTTCAGTGAGGCCCAGCATGCACAGCATCTCATGTAAGTGGAGTTGCCTTATAGTTCTTTAAGTTGACTTATTCTTGACCTCTTCAAAGTGTACAGTTCAATATTTTTTGTTGTTTTTGAGACAGGGTCTCACTAAGTAGCCCAGGTAGACTCCTGAAGCTATATATAAAGACAAATGAGAGCTGGAAAGGTGGCTAAGGGGTTAAAAGCTCTTATTGCTCCTCCAGAGGAGCTGGGTCTGCTTGCCAGCGCCCATGCTAGGCTGCTCACAGCTGTCTGTAGCTTCATCTCCAGGGGATTAGAGGCTCTCTGCTGGCTTCTGCAGGGCACTGCACTCATGCGAGCACAGAAAAATACAAATTCAACCAGATGGGGAGGGCCGGTTAGAGGAGCAGAACAAACAGAAGGAGAATTTATCAGGTTAGCGAAAGTGAGGACTGGAAGTCTAGCGATGGCTGTCTACATCATGCAGCTGCAGAGATCCAGGATTCTAATCCCGGAAGCTAGGTGCCTTGGTAGTGGTAGTACCAATCCAACTTTGAAAGCCTGGGGGTTCCCTGGAGAGCCACTAGCAAGGAGTTTGTTGAGTCTACAATTACCTCCCTATGTTTATTTGTTTTGAGACAAGTTCTCCTATTGCTCAGGCTGGTCTTGAACCCCCTTCCCCATGCAGCTCAGTATGACCTTAAACTTCTGCTCCTCCTGCTACCACTTCCCAAGTGCTGGGGATTACAGGTGTGCACCACTAGACCCGGCTTATTTTTTTTTTTGTTCTGAGTGTGAATCTCATGTTAGATGTGTTTTCTGTAAACACCCCCACATTTTTGTGCACCACTTTTTCGGTCTGTTCATAAGATCCTACAAAAAAATTTCACAATTTTGGTGAAACCAAGTGTAGGTGTTTTTCTTTTCTTTGTGCTAATAAAGAAAAGTGGGGAAAGCCTCTCTGGTAGTGGCAGCTAGAGCATGCCTCTCAAGAAGTATCTTTTTCATCCCTGTCTAGAAGAGAAGAAACACGGAAGCAGTGCCATGAAGAGCCCTGGTTCCCACTCCATGGCTGTGAAATGCTCAGGGCATAAGAAATCCCAGTCTTTGGCCATGCGCAAATGGTAGTGATGTTGGCTGCTCCAATGGGGAGAACAAGGTTCCCAGAAGGATGGTCCTTCAGGAGGAAGCATGGAAAGTTCCTGAACCAAGATGAGCAGGAAAGAGAGGAGAAAGGGAAGAGGAAGGAGAGAAAGAGGAAGAGGAAGGAGAGAGGAAGAGAAAGGAAAGGAGGAGGAAGGAAAGGAAGAGGAAGGAGAGAACAAAAATGAGAGGAAGGAGAGGGAAAAGAAGAAGGAAAGAGGATGAGAAAGGAGAGAGGAAGAAGAAGGAGGAGGAGGAGAGGAAGAAGAAGGAGAGGAAGAAGAAGAGGACAGAGGGGAAGAAAGGAGGGGGAGAAAGAGGAAGGAGGAAGAAGGAGAGAGGAAGAGGAAGGAGAGGAGAGGAAAGAGAGAGAGGAAGAGGAAGGAGGAGAGAGGAAAGGCTTCCGCACTTCTCACTGGTTTCATGGCAGTAAACTCACCCCTTGTTTGTGCTGACAACAGTCAGAACTCTGGCCTTCCTTTCTCTAGGAGTGTCTGCATCTCTAAGTTTCTTTCCTCTTCTCTCCCTGATCCACTAATGCAGGCTGCTGGGCTCTCCTCAGCTCTCCGAAGTTTCTTGCCTTTTTTTTTTTTTTGAGACATGGTCTCATTATGTACCTCTGGCTGGCCTGCACTCACAAAGATCCACCTGCCTCTGCCTTTGGAATGTTGGGATTAAAGGTATGTACCTGCCATGTCAGAGAGAGAGAGAGAGAAGGTTTTTTTTTTTCCTGTGTGTGTGTGTGTTTTGTTTTCTGAGACAGTGTTTCTCTGTAGCTTTGGGAGAAGAGAGAGAGTTTTAAAGAAGGTGTTGCCTCCATTGCAGAGAAAGAGCAGTGTGGTGGAAACCTTCTCCTAGAGTCTATATATTTTTGTTTGTTTTTTGAAACAGGGTTTCTTTGTGTAGCCTTGGCTGTCCTGAAACTAGTTCTGTAGGCTAGGCTGGCCTTGAACTCACTATCCTCCTGCCTCTGCCCTCCTGAGTGCTGGGAGTAAAAGTGCGTGTCATCACCACTTGGTTTAGATACCTGCATCCTAATCTCAGACCCTTGACACCCAGGCTTAGTCCTGGCCCCTGGACAGAGGCCATGAAGGCATGAGGGGTGGAAAAGATTCTGTAGATGTGATGAAGATGAGGCACTGGGTTGGGAGATCTACATGGCTTGCTTCAGAGGACCATCTAGGCCTGAGCACTCAAGGGCTTAGAACGAAAGAGCCCTGAAGAAGAAGGGGCCCAAGTCAAGACTGGCGGCACAGTTATGCCTTGGGTCTTGGGGACTGAGGGGAGCATGTGGACCAACCTGGAGTTTGGTTCACAAGGTCCCTTTGGTACTTATAGTCCATAGAGTTTCAGGAAATGTGTGGCTTCTGTTTGCAGCATCATTTGCCTCCAGGATCTAGGTTTATGTTCGCTGGGTGCAGAGCCCAAGGTTGCCAGCAGAGGGCAGCAGCCACCAACAGAAAGGCCAGCAGTGCCTGTCTTGGCTAAGAGCATGGCAGTCGGTAAAGAGGGTGGTTAGTGATAAATCCTGGCCCCACTGCTAGTGTTTCCACAGACTGCCCAAGCCTCATAACTGTCCCCCACATTTAGTGGTCCTAGTTTGGTCCTATTTAGGTTCCCCCGCTATCAATCCAGAGTCAGTGAGCTCTCACTAGCTCAGGTCATCTGTTCTGGTGGGTATCACCATCATGGTCTTGACACCTTTGCTCATATTATCACTCCTCCCTCTCTTGAACTAGTCTCTGGAAGCTGGGCCCAGTGCTTCCATCAGTTGCTGGACGAAGGTTCTATGATGACAGTTAAGGTAGTCATCAATCTGATTACAGGGGAAGGACAGTTTAGGTATCCTCTCCACTATAGCTTAGAATCTTAGCTGGGGACATACTTGTGGATTCCTGGGAATTTTCCCAGTGCCATGTTTCTCATTAGACCCTTAATGGCTCCCTCAATCAAGGTCTCTTTCCTTTCTCTCCCTCTCTGTCCTCCTTTCTTCTTGAACATTCTGTTCCCTCATGTTCTCTTCCTCCCTTCCCTTCTCCCCTCCCTTTCCATCCTCTCTCCCTCCCCCCGCAATTTTCTCAGGAGATCTTGTCTGTTTCCCCTTCCCAGAGGGATCCATACAGTACTTGAACTGGTGTCTTGGAACATATTATCTTTGGAGGAATGCCTTGCTCAGCCTAGATATAGAGGGGAGGGCCTTGGTCCTGCCTCCAAGTGATGTGTCAGACTTTGTTGACTCCCCATGGGAAGCCTCACCCTTTCTGAGGAGTGAATGGGTGAGGCGGGAGGAGGGGAGGGACTGGGAACAGGGATAGCTATGTAAAATGAGAAAAGATTGTATTAAAAAAAATTTAGAGCCGGGCGATGGTGGCACACGTCTTTAATCCCAGCACACGGGAAGCAGAGGCAGGCGGATCTCTGTGAGTCCGAGACCAGCCTGGTCTACAGAGCTAGTTCCAGGACAGGCTCCAAAGCTACAGAGAAACTCTGTCTCGAAAAAAAAAAAATTTAGATCAAAAGATAAATAAACAACAACAAAAAGGAAAAAAGAAAAATGAAGAGGGTGGTTAGCTGGGAACACGAAGGGGACAGAGACTTCAGATTAACCATATGTTCTGCTTCAGAGACCTAGCATGTCCTACCTGAGTGCTGGGTTTACAGAGACCTAGCGTGTCCTACCTGAGTGCTGGGTTTACAGGCATGCACCACCAGGCCTGGGCAAATCTGGACATTTAAGTGCAGATTTCCAAGGCTTTTATGTAGGTAATTTTTTTTTTTTTTTGATTTTTGAGACAGGGTTTCTCCGTAGCCGGCATCTCTTGCTTCCATTTGGATTCTGTGGCTGTGGGATTCATCTTCTGATCAGCACTAGACGCCCCCTGTAGGGGCATCCAGAGAGAAGGGCCTGTCTGCTCTGTACCTGCAAAGGCTCTGTCAGTTCTGTAGGGGGCTCTGTTAGGAGGTCATGAAGTGAAACTCTAGACCCTCATCCTGCATCCTCGTGAGCTTCAGAGGAGGATCCTGCAGTTTTAACCCTGGCGTGTCCTCTCTGTGACCTTCAGAGGAGGAACCTGCAGTTTTAACCCTGGCATGTCCTTTCTGTGACCTTCAGAGGAGGGATCCTGCAGCTCTGACCCCAGGTAGGTCCTCTTTGAATCCTCCACATGAGAAGAAAGAATTCCGGGGCTTTAGACAGTTGGGGTTTTTCCCATTGCTTTTTTTTTTTAGACAAGGTCACACTATGTAGCTTTGGATGACCTTGAATCCACATAAATCCACCTGCCTCTGCCTCCTGAGTGCTGAAATTAAAGGTGTGCACACTACCATGTCCAGCCAGAACGCTCTTGAGCCATTGGCTAGGAGCTGCAGTTTTCTACAGGGTGTATGTGGGAGTACCAACAGTAGGGGGCGCCAGAGGCCGCTGCTGCTCTGAGGAGGTTCCAGGACCAGGTGGTGTGGAGACGCCAGGTTAACCTTGTGGCTACAGCAAAGGAGCTGACTATTTAACTGGCATTTCGGGCATTAAGAAGAGTTTTCGTTTGAGGAAATCGTGGTGAATATGAGCAGCATTTTAAAATAAATGTCCCCACTTGCCCACATGAAAACACTGTCCCCATAAAGTTGCTCCCCATGAAATTTTGGGACAATGTATGACACGGATTCTAGTGTGCTGGGTGATGTCCTAAATGTAAGACTGTGGGACAGGTGGCTGAGGGATGACTGTAATCGCCCCCCCCGAAACATAGTCTCATGCCTAGAGGGATCCAGCATGCATGTCCACACACAGACATACAAGCACATCTGTACACAGACTTGTGAATGCACGATTCACACGTGTACATGCACAAGTGAATGCAAACACATGTGTGCCTGTGTTTAGTGTGTACAAACATACTCACATACGGAAGTATGCATATGGAATCAAGTGAAACATAAGCACACAAGGCACAAGGTATTAAATTACACATAAATGCATGTGTCCATGCACAGGTATGCATATACACGTGTGCATGCAGACATGCACATGCAAACACAAACACATACAGGCACGCAGAGCAACATGAGTATACGCATGCATGCACACGTACACAGAGGCACAAACAAATACTTGCACAGCTCATGCACACACCACAGGGAGCTGGCAGCTCAGGATCATCTAGAACAATCCACACTTCTGCCACAAAGGAAATAAATGGTCTCGAATGTTCTCAGGCCAACCATTTTCAAATCTGTAGTATCAATCACAGGGCTTATTAGGGACCTTGAAGACAAGAACAGGTTGGGACAAGAGCACTCAGAAGAGGCCAGGGTTGTGTATTCAAATTTATTTTGACAAATGCTCAGCCACAGTCTCCTATGGGTGTGTGTACATTCAGTTTTGTTTTGTTTTTGTTTTTGTTTTTTTAAAAAATGGTTTCTGTAAAAGAATTTTTGGTAATTACCTAATTTTGGATATGGTAGCTATATACAAAAGATCATTGGAAACCGCCTCACTGCACAAGAGAAAACAGAAGCATCAGCGCTCACGATTTTAGCCAACAGTGAAAACCTTTGAGGGCCATGACTTGGACCCCAGCTGCCGACTGCAGGACTCATGGCCTTGTCCTGAGGCAAGTGTAGGGAGCTGCCTCTTCCAGCTTGGGCGAGACACTTGGGGCTACAGTGCTGAGAGACCTCGCACAGCTGGTTAGCACACAAACTGAAGCTGGCCCAGGAGGCTTGTTTTAGAGGCTATTACAACGGTAAGTGCCAAGAATCTCATGTCCCCGTGAGTGAAAATATAGGTGTGTTACCAAAATAGAAGCCTTTATTGAAAAAAATCTTTGGTAGTAACGATATTCTAATTTTCTCTCAGCATTTGGTTAACTAATGAAATAAACTCCTTCCACCTTGAGCTACAGAAAGAAAATCCCTCCAGTCCACCACATTCTTGAGTTTTAGACGCAAACCAATAGGTGTTCTCAAAAGCGGCAAAGGAACCCACGGAGGCCCTGGGGCTTGGGGAAGCCCTGCAGGTGTCTTAGAGATGCTCCGCCTGTCACCCCAGCTTGTCTCACAGAGTGTGTCAGCTTGGTGTGAGGGGCCCTCGAGTGGCTGATGTGGAGCCTGCCAGGGACACCAACGGTGCTGGTCAACTGGGGCACCTGGACCCCTCGGTTACTGGCACAGAGTACAAAGCCACCATGCGTATACAGTTTGGGTAGCTAGGTCTGAACTTCTGAGTTCCCAGAAGGAGAGACAGTGGAGTCATTCAGCTTGTCCAACTAGAGCAGGTGACATCTTTGGGAACCTGAGTCTAAGTCATCCATTCTCCTGTAAAATATCACCAGGTTCCCGGACACCATTCTGTACCTATCCCAAGGCATCCTTCAGACAAAGGATGCAGACTCAGGCCTTGGCCCCTTACCACTGTGGGGGTGCTCTATGACCTCCACCCTGGGTCTGTGGTACATGCCCTCACCCCATTCAGCCCTGTCACCAGTCATCCTTGGCATTGAATACTAAAGATAAAAATGTCCCTGCTTAATGGCATTGTGCAAAAATGAGAAGAAACAGAAAGAAGAAGATGGCTGTCACATCAGAGTGGCCCTCCACGTGTGCAGACAAGAGCCACAGGCCCTGGTGGGGCTGAAAGTGCTGGCTCTGGGAAACCGGGTGGTCACTTGGCGATGGTCAGAAGCCTGCTGGCCTGTCATCGTGACTACAGCATGCCCCCGTGGTACTCGTAGCTGGGGGCTGGGCTGCCGTCACCTGCCTCTGGCCGGGTTGTGGGGCTGTGGTTGTTGCAAGGCACGTCCCTCGGTTTATCCTTCTCCATCCACGTGTCTAGTAGCTGTTGCTTGCCCTGCTCCTCACGCATGAACAACTCCACCATGAGAACCTTCTCCTTATGGATCTGCTGGCTGATGTCTTTGGGGATGTCGGGGATCACCCAGTCCACGAAGTCACTCATGAACATCACCAGGTTCTACAGGGAGAGATGTGAAGGGGACGGGGTCAGAGTGGCCCACCCTCATCTGTTCACTCCACCTATGTACCCCACCTATGATCCTCTCCTATGCACCCCACCTGTGCACCCCACCTGGGAACCCCACTTGTGCACTCTACCTATGCACCCCACTTGTGCACCCCACCTAGGAACCCCACCTGGGAACCCCACCTGTGCACCCCACTTGTGCACTCCACCTTTGCACCCCACCTATGAATCCCACCTGGGAACCCCACCTGTGCACTCACCTATGCACCCCACCTGTGCACCCCACTTGTGCACCCCACCTAGGAACCCCACCTGGGAACCCCACCTGTGCACCCCACTTATGCACTCCACCTGTGCACCCCACCTATGAATCCCACCTGGGAACCCCACCTGTGCACTCTACCTATGCACCCCACCTGTGCACCCCACCTAGAAACGCCACCTGTGCACCCCACTTATGCACTCCACCTGTGCACCCCACCTATGAATCCCACCTGGGAACCCCACCTGTGCACTCTACCTATGCACCCCACCTGTGCACCCCACCTAGGAACGCCACCTGTGCACCCCACTTGTGCACCCCACCTAGGAATCCCACCTGGGAACCCCACCTGTGCACTCCACTTGTGCACCCCACCTAGGAACCCCACCTGGGAACCCCACCTGTGCACCCCACCTATGAATCCCACCTGGGAACCCCACCTGTGCACCCCACCTGTGTACCCCACTTGCACATCCCTGTGTGCCCCACCTATGCACTACCTCCTGTCTACCTGCTTCATGTAGCAGAAGCCACCCCTTTACTCCTTGTCCCTGTGCATGTCCTAGTATTCTGGGCCTCAGTTTCTCAGAAGGTGTAAACTGGACAGGGAGGTGCAACCCCTGGAAACCTGAGCTTTTTCCCCCCTTTTCTTTGAGACACTGGGGATGAAGCAGGGTCTTGCGCTCCACTGCTCCGTGTTGGCTTTCTTGAGGAATCTGGACTGAGTGGGCAAAAAAATGCTCTGAAAGATGGATTCTTCCGTCGGGATCTTCAGAGTGACTGACCTCCCAGGCCATCAAACACAGCAATGACACGAAGGCTGCAGCGAACACTGTCAAGGCAGCAATGGCCTGTAGTGCCAGGAGCGAGCTGAGGGCTGCTCCTTGAAGCCCGAGGCTGGCTAGGTTCTTGAGCACTGGCCATGCCAGTGCAGATGTTTTAGGGACAAAATGAAAGTCAGTCAGCTTGTATGAGAGACCATCATTTGTTCGTAGACACCTTCGGGCTGCATTTGTTGGCTCCTGGGCGTCAGTGATTGACCTCTGTTCAAAGGTGACTGTCTGAGCTATGCTCCCAGCTGTGTGGCACAGCTAAGGATCCCCTGCCCTCTCGTCTCCCTGGTCCCAGTATGGCTGTGGGAGTCAGCAACCAGTCATTTAGGATGATGAGGGCCCATTATGTTCTGGTGTTTGGGGCAGTGTGTGCCTGTTGGGATGGACAGAGCTGTCCCCAGTGCAAACCCTCTCCTGCCTGCTAGGCTGTCTCCTTATCTTAGAACAGTGGTTCTCAACCTGTGGGTCACAAACCTTCAGTGGGGTCACATATAGGATATCCTGCATATCAGATATTTACAGTACAATTCCCAACAGTAGCAAAATTATTGTCCTGAGGTAGCAATGAAATAATTTTATGGTGTGTAGGGGTCATCAACACAGCATGAGGAACTCCATTAAAGGGCTGCAACACCAGGGAGGCGAGAACCACTGTGCTAAGCTTCTCCCAGTAGCCCTCATCTGTGCTGGCTAGTCTTCTGTCAACTCGGCACAAGCTAGGGTCACCTGGGAACAATGACCCTCAGCTGAGAAAAGGCCTCCATCAGACTGGGTTGTAGACCAGCCTGTGGGGTCATATTCTTTGATACTCTTTGTAAAAATTTTAAGTGTGTGTGTGTAATTTAGCCCATAGTAGGGCTGCTGCCTGGGTCTGGTGTTATCTGAGAACCACTGCATCCAGTCTGAACTTGCCTGGCCCCTGGCACAGAGACAGAGGGAGACAAGCAGGGACAGAGAGGCCTCTTCTTCCTACAAGTCTGCTCTATGGAGCCCACTGCTCTCACAATCCCACCTTCCCTTGCCTGTCCCCTGAAACTCTCCTGATCTTTGCTCAGGTTCAGTTCATTCAGTGTCCTCCTCAGAGTCCCTGAAGACATATCAAGGTACCTGCCTCCTGCCATGATCAGCTCCCCCTCCTGTTGGCACTTCCCAAGTGCTATCCCTCCACTTTCTAGAGACAGATGTCCCCAACCCACACATACCTGGAAAACAATGACAAAGGCCAGTCGGGCGGCCAGGACAGCCCAGAAGTCTTTAGAAATGTCATACTTGTGTTCTGACCACGGAGGCTCACGGTAATCTTTGTACCTGCAAAAGGTGTGGGGAGTCAAGGGCAGGCCAAGTGGATCTTGGGCTCTGGAGAGAAGCTGAGCCAGGCTCTGAGGCCCGCTGCCGGGAAGGCTTGCTCTCTGCCTAGAAATTCTCTCCAACCTGGATGGGGTGGTCAGGACTCAGGCACTTGGAGAAAATAGATACCAGGGACTTTTTTTTAAAAAAAAATATTTATTTATTTACTTATTATGTATACAAAATTCTGCCTGTGTGTGTGCCTGCAGGCCAGAAGAGGGCACCAGACCTCATTACAGATGGTTGTGAGCCACCATGTGGTTGCCGGGAATTGAACTCAGGACCTCTGGAAGAGCAGGCAATGCTCTTCACTGCTGAGCCATCTCTCCAGCCCCTACCAGGGACTTTGGACAGTGTTGAGACTCAGGACTTTTGAGACACACAAGAAGTAGTGTGTGTTATGAGATGAACTTGAGCCTTTACGGCCAAGGGTGGGACATCCTGATTTAAACAATGTGCTTGGTGTCATGTTAACAAGGATGATTAATGTTTTTCTTTTGAATTTAATTATGTGTGTCTATGCATGTGCATTCAGTGTCGTCAGAGGCAGGAAGGGAGTAGCAGACCACCCTGGAGTTAGTGTTACAGGTAGCTGTGAGCTGCCAGATGTGGGCTATGGGATCTGAACTCGGGTCCTCCAGGAGAGCAGCTAGGGCTCTTAACCACGCAGCCCACATGGGCTTGCTTGTCTACTTGACTGGATTTGGAGTCGCCATGGAGGGCTGGCGAGCTGACTCTGTGTAAAGGCGCTGGTACCAAGCCTGACTACCTGAGTTTGACTCCTAGGACCCACATGGTAGCAAGAGAAAGCTGACTCCTGAGAACTGCCCTCTGCCCTCCATGTGTGCACCATGACCTCTGGGTAGGTGTGAGGGTGTTTCCACCAGAGGTTTAACTGAGGTGGGAAGACCCGCCCTGAATGTGGGCGGGACCCTCCATGGGCTGTGGTCCTGGACTGAATGCACAGGAGAAAATGAGCTGAGCGCCAGCAGCCATCTCTTTCTGCTTCCTGTCTGTGGATGCGAAGTGACCAGGCGTCCCCACTCCTGATGTCTTCCCTTCCCTCAGGATGGACTGGGGTTTCACACTGTGAGCCAGAACACCAGAACAGACCTTTCCTTCCTTAAGTTGTTGTTCTTATTTTGTTTTTCCTTTTGAGTCAGGGTTTCTCTGTGTAGCTCTAGCTGTCTGAGAACCTGCTCTGTAGACCAGGCTGGCCTCGAACTCATAGATCCTCCTGCCTCTGCCTCCTGAGTGTTGGTATTAAAGGCGTGCGCCACTACCGCCTGGTCTGTAGTTGATTTTGTCAGGTATTTTACCACAGCAGTGAGATACATGCGTCATATAACACAATTCCCAGCTAGCGACAGAGTCTCTAGAGCAACTGGTATGTCCCAGGCTGGTCACTAAAAGCTGACGCCCAGGGAGGGGACACCAGGAGGAGGTACTTGGCCCCAGAAGCACAGCTCACGTTTACTAACAACTTGCTGTGTGTTTCCCAAGCACTCGCTAGCCCTCTCTGGACCTCAGTCTGAACATTCCCTCACTTGTTTATGTCGTAAGCATTTGTGAGTTGTGCCCAACACCACCCCAGAGGGCACATAGGTGAGAACACAGCGGATGGAACCTTTTGTTCAGGGACGGAGTTGGACAGGAGTCTCTAGGGCCTGTTTGCCATGGAACCACCAGCTCCCCAGATGGGACTGGCTGGGAACAGTAGCAGGTGCTGAGCAGATGCTGTGTAGTCACTGATAGGAACAAACAGCCTGTGCCCCCAGTGTTACCACACACGTCCGTTCCGCCTTTTCCCCTCCAAACCTTGGGTTACCTGGAAAACTCCTATGCATCCCTGAAAGCCCACTCATGACTCTTCAGTCACCACCCCCCACCAGCCATGCCGACCTTTAGATTCATTGTCTTCCCATTCCCGGCTTTACTAGTCAGCCCCCTTCTGGCCTCCATGGGGAGAGGAGAATGTGGTCTCTTGGGGTGGATGGGGCTGACCTGGGCCGTGCTTGCTTTAGCACAGGAATAAACAGGAGCCTGCAGGAGTCCTGGGTCCTATTCACTGCTTCTGCTGTTCTCTGGGCTTGGTCGGGCTCCAGCTTTGGGGGGTAGCTGTGGTGGGTGTGTCTGGTGTACCTGGGGAGCTCAAGGAGGCTGAGGCACAGGATTGTGGTCCAGGCGGTGGGAGTCAGCTAGAACTGGAGCTGGGGACCAGGGCCTCTGCTTGCATGGGCCCAAAGCAGCAGGGACATAGATGGGGTCTGGGCCCTGTGTTTTTGGAGATCTGCTTCCTGGGCTTGACCTAGAACTCTCTACCTCCCTGCGTTTAAGCCTGCTGCTGCCACTCTGCCAGGAGTGTGCAGAAAAACAACAGTGATTTCTGTTTTCTCTTAGTGACTTTTCCTCTAAGCTTCCATTTTCCCGAACTCTGTAGCACCTGATGGCGTCCCGGCTGGGGGTACTTTCAACAACACCAGAGTGTCCTCTAGTCTGGCTGCCCAGTACGAGGTTGGATTTTGAAGTAGTTTCCTAACAGCGGTGGCAGAGCACCTGTCCCCCACACCTCACACTTTGCTCCCCAATCAGGAGCCCTCCCCCACACCAGGGAGCATCATTGCTTCCCTAGGAATGACCAGCACCTCTGCCGGTGCACACACAGAGCCCCAATCAACAGCTCCACGAACAAAGTTTCAATTCTACAGGGAGCAAAGCCACCGACACTCAGAGGAAATCCACTTTGAACTTGGCCCTTTCCCTGGCTAGCAAGAGGTGGACTAGCCTCTCTCTCCTGGCTGGAAAGTCCCAAGACTGGTGTCTTCTGCAGACTACTGGGCAGGGGAGGTCGGAAGAAGCAACAAGCTTCTGAAGTGACTTGTGTTTTCAACTTGGGAGGGTCCCCTGGGCTGTGCATTTCTGTCCTAGGCTACGTGCAGAGAGAGGGCTTTCAGAGATGAAAACCATACTGGACTGTCTCCTCTCAAACCTGCCTCCATAGGCTCCACCCCTGAACAAGGTCCCAGGATAGCTGCTGTTCTACCCTGGCACAAAACAAATAGAAATGATGTCTTCTTTTCTTTCCCCGTTCTTCTTCCTTATAGTAGCCTTAGGCTACTTGAATAAATAGGTTTATTATTTATAACTTATTTATTCATATATAAATATCAACATAACAAATATATTTATAAAGATACAAATCTATCTATCTATCTATCTATCTATCTATCTATCTATCTATCTGAGTCAGGGTCTCATTAGCCTAGGTTGCCTTGCACTGATCCTCCTGCTTCCATCTCCCTAGTACTGCGATAACGGTGTCAGACCCAGCTTCTTAAAGGCACCTTCCCTCTGCCACCCCGAGGAGGAGCTTCCTTGCATGGGAATCTTCAGGGATAACTCACATCCACCCCAGAGCATGAGCTAAGGTGTAACGTTGGCTTCTGGGGAATAGATCACGTGTAAAACCAGAACTCTCTGCCCCTTCCCGCCAGACTACCACATGTTATTTATTTATTATTAAAGACGGGGCAGCCGGGCGGTGGTGGCACACGCCTTTAATCCCAGCACTCGGGAGGCAGAGGCAGGCAGATCTCTGTGAGTTCGAGACCAACCTGGTCTACAAGAGCTAGTTCCAGGACAGGCTCCAAAACCGCAGAGAAACCCTGTCTCGAAAAACCAAAAAAAATAAAATAAAAAAATAAAAAAAATAAAGACGGGGCCTCAGCTGGGCAGCGTCCACCTCTAATCCCAGCTGTCTGGCTTTAAGTCGTAGCGTTTGGACTCAGACTTGGAAGATAGAGGCAGGCAGATCTCTGTGAGTTTGGGGCTACCTGGACAACATAGAGAGTTCTAGGCCAGCCAGGGCTACATAGTGAGACTGTCTCAGAAAAGTAAGCAAACAGCCAGGTGGTGGTGGCAGTGTGGCACCTGCCTTGAATCCCAGCACTCTGTAGGCAGAAGCAGGCAGATCTCTGAGATCGAGGTCAGCCTGGTCTACAAAGTAAGTTGCAGGATGGCTAGGGCTACACAGAGAAACCCTGTCTCAGATAAAAGTAAACAAATAAACAAACAAAAAAGAAAGGGTTTGGGGTAGTCCAGGCTTGCCTCATTCTGCCTTGGCCTCTTGAATGTTTGGATTATAGGTATGCACCACCATGCAGGACATCATACATGCGCATGTGTATGTGTGCACATGTGTGTGTATGTCTTCAAATACACACATATATACACATATATATCTTTTGTTTTTCTGCTTTTTAATTTTGAAAAAATATTTTTACTTATTTTAGGTATATGAATGTTTTGCCTGAATATATGTATGTTTGTGTACCACACAGAGGCCAGAAGAGGGGAGCTTCAGAACCCCTGTAACTGGAGTTACAGATGGTTGTGAACCACCTCGTGGGTGCTGGGAGTCAAACACTGGTCCTCTGCAAGAACAGGTACTTTTAACTGCTAAGCCACGTGTCTGGCTCATGTTATGTTTTTTTATGAGACAAGATCTGATGTAGTACAGGCCAGACTCAATCTCAATATGTAGCTGAGGATAGCCTTGAACTTCTGATCTTTTATTTCCACAAACCAGTATACTCTATTTGAGGCATGATCTCATGTAGTCCAGGCTGGCCTCAAACTCACAGCAATCCCCCTGCCTCACGCTCCTAGCGTGGGATTATATAGTGTGCCACCCCTGCAGTCATTTTACAAACTGCATGTAAGTACTCCTGGAGTCTTGCACCCGAAGAAGCCTGGCTCTGCCTAGCCTTTCCCAGCTGCCTCTGCAAGGCCTCTCTTCAGGAGGAGACATGAAAGCAGTACCTGCAGATCTGAACCTCATAGCCCAGGTCCAGTGGGTCATTGGGTGCTGTGCCATCCTGGAAGTCACTAACATTGAAGGAGGAGAGTGTGTGGTTGACGAAGCCGTGCATGGTCCCGTTCTGACTGTACATGTAGAGGTACACTAGGCGAGGGATGAAGTCAGACGTGAAGGAGATCACAAAGGCCTGCCAGAGAGAAGGAGCGAGGGTGAGGACCAGGGCAGGGCAGGGCAGGGCAGGATAGCGTGACTGAACAAAGGGTCAGGATGGTCCTGTTCATTTCCGCAGCTTACAGGAGCATGATGGGCTATGGTAGTTGTCCTTCAGGAGGGACAGTAGGGACAGTGGGCTGCCTTTCATAGGCTGTGTGGCTCTGGGTGCCAAGCTCGCTGTGCCATCCTCCTGTTCTTGTTTAACAGGTTGGCCATGCTCACTGGGCACAGACCTTACCTGTAACCTGGGCTTGCTGGGGAAATTCAGGAGCCCAAAGAAGGAATCTGCAAACTGTGAAGTTCTTGCCTACCTCTACGACAGACTTCATGCAGGGGCCTGAAGCCCAACAGCCTCTGATGGATGTGTGGCCTTGGGTATGTCACCTTCTCTCTCTGTGGCTTAGTTATCTATAGCATGGGGCTTGCCAGGCTATACCTCCACAGCTGTGTATAGGCTAATGGCTTGGTATGTGGCAAGAATATAGGTTTAGAATATTCTGGGAGTATCTAACGTTGTTGCCGTTGTCCTCATGAGATGCCCTACGTGTGCCCTGGCTTCACACATTGCACACAGGCTATACTCTGGGTCCCCGTATTCTGGACCCTACTTCTGCTCCGCCAGGGTCAGTCCTTCTCAGTTCCTTTAACAAGGGGCTTCAAGGCCTCAACTGGAGAAGTAGGCATTTGGCACTAGGGAAGGACAGTGTGGCTCCTAGTGGCTTGAATATCACCCCTATGCCTAGCAGGACCTGGATCCCAGGTGTTCCTGCATTGGACACCCTGGGCCTGCACTGTTCTGGGAGCTACCCCTGCTTCCCATGGGTGCTGTGTCTGCACACAGGGGCTCAGTCAGTGTATGGAGAGGCAGAAGGTTAGGGCACACAGCTGTGATGCTGCATGTCCACCTGGGGTTCCTGTGCCTCTGAGTGAGCCTTGGGCTTTGCTGCAGCAATATGGAGCCTGTGGGGACCACAGGGGCCAAGGGTTATCCCACTCCTGACCTAAGGCCAGGAAAGACTAATGGGAGCCATACTGTGTGCTGGGAAGACATGGTTATGAGCTGGGAAGGAAGCTAAGGGTGTGACACCAGGCTTGATAGAGACAGGGGTGCTAGCTTCGTCTCGCTTTCCAGCTACTTTCCAGCTACGTTACAAATGGGCTTTTGTTTCTTTGTTTGTTTATAGACAGTGTCTTAAGTATCCTAGGCTGGCCCTGAACTCTTTATGGTAATAAGGGTGACCTTGAACTTCAGATCCTCCTGCCTCCCTGTCCCGGAGTGCTGGAAGAACAGGTACGCTCCACCACACCTGGTTTATTCAATGCTGGGGATGAAACTCGGGCCTCGTGCATGCTAGACAAGCATGCAACCTATTGAGCTCCAGCCCTAGTCCTCAAGGAAAGTTTCTAAAGAGAGACACCAACAGCCCCATGGTCTCACTGCCCCGCCAGGATTCCCACTCCCATCACTTACATTAATGATGACAGCCAGCTTCCCGACGCCTCTGAGAATGTTGTACCAGATGCCTAGGGGAGAAGCAGATGGGATCTCCTGTGGACTGGTGTACAGTTTGTGGTGCCCAGGCAGTGCCTGGGTGGGCCCAACCTTGCAAGAACTGGGGCAGCAAGAGGGCCACCCCCGCAATGCTGGGGAAGGCACAGGAGGAGCCTAGGGAACACAATGCCCTGGCTGCACTGTGTTACCATGTCACATTATGGGTTATCTATGAGTTTCCACAACCTAGACACCCTGGTCCTTAGTGGCCCTGGACCTTCCCTGTAAACCTGTCTAGAGGTGCTCAGTGCAGGAAGATCCCTTTCCTACAGCCCATGACTTGACCTCTGGCTAGGGCACCCTGACTGTCGAGGTTGGGCTCTTGCTTCGGGGGTGATGCTTAGCAGTGTTCAAGCCAACCATCATGCCAGGACAGGACCTGGCTTCCACTATTATGATTCCAGATCAGCAGAAGGCTTATTCCCAGCGTGGTGGGACCTTGCTCCTCAGCCATCTTCCAATGGAAAGGAGAAGGAACAAGATTCAGGAAGGAGGTACCGTGCTTGTTAGGGGCCTTCAGGCTGAGATTCCTGCAGGGAGTCCCATGTACTGTACCCCCAGCCCCAACCTCACCCGTGAGGCTAGGTGTGTGTCCAGGGGGCCTGTCTGAACTGCAGTCCATTAGGCCAAGAGTGTGCCCTGTCCATATCTGGCTTTCAGTCTTGAGCCAGGTCTATGGCTTCTCATAAAGAAGATCCTACTGTCTCCACTCTTGGGGAAACTATGTCAGGTGTTTTGTTCCACGTGTGGTGTATGGCCAGGTGCCACATGTTCCCCCATCTAGAAGGAGTGGGACAAGCTTCCGAGCTCTCATTTTAGAGCTTCACACTGGTGGCCCACGAGGCCAGCAGGTGTTCAGTACTGGGCATCCCAGAATCTGGGAATCATGGTTTGACCAGCGTCCAAGGCTATAACAATGCACATGAATTTGATAAGTCCTCCTGCCCCAGCCAGGATAAAACAGCCCCCACCACGGCAATGAGACACCCATGCCACCAGGTGGGAAGTCTCAGAAAGAACCACCCCACATTCCTGCCCCTAGTAAGTGACAGTCTACTCTGAGGTGAGATGTTCACACACTTCTACCTGGTGCTTCCTGGGAAGGTGGTGGTTCTGTCTACCTTCCTGCTAGCCAAAGTAGTAAGCAGACAGGTGATCCCGTGTGATGAAAATGTCATAGGCATGAGGGAGCCAGCAAAGGCACTAGGAGGGGAGGGAATCCTTGTGAGGTCGTCACCAACATTCTAGTCACCGGTGGCAGCACTTCACACCTGGCCTCTTATGTCGTGTTTCAGGAGCTGAGAGCTCTGCAGTAGACTGAGAGCTAGCTGTGGTTCATGCATCACTTGTCTCCAGAGCCTCGCTGCATTGACCTATTAGGTGTTTGTTGAGTGGCTGCAGAAATGCATAAAGCCTTTTCAGATAAAACCAGAGCAGAGGATACTAAGGGCAGGCCCTACCGGCTGCAGACTCCTGGAGACTGTTGAGGCTGGCGAGACGGTCCAGCAGGCAAAAGCTCCTTTGCCCAAGCTGGATGACCAGAGTTCCATCTCCTGAACCACAGCGGGAGACAGAAGCCACTTGTGTAAGATGGGCTTCCTATAGAGATCCTGTGGCTGATGGTGGAGGCTCCTGCAGGTCAGTTGACCATACCTGTTCTCTACATACAGGGGAGTCCCTGATGCCACACCTCTTGGAACCACCAGATGCTTCTTGATGCTTTAGCTCTTTGCTTTATTTTTCTTTCTTTTATCTTTTCTTTTCCTTCCTTCTTTTCTTCCTTTCTAAGACAGCGTCTCATGTGGTTCAGACTAGCTTCAAATTCACTATGAGCCAAGGATGGTTTTGAACTCCTTCATCTTCCTTCTTCTACCTTCCGGGGGGCTAGGATTACAGGTATGTGTCACTGTGTTTGAGCCATGTGGTGCTGCAGACCAAACCCAGGGCTTTGTGCAGGGCAGGCAAGCATTCTATTGAGGCCAAATCCCTAGCCAAGCGAAGGTGAAGTTCAGGGTGGGCTCCACCTTACTTCACTGCATTCAATACCCACCGCTGTTGTTCGCCACAACTGGCAAACTCGCAGTGAAGCCTACTTTGTCTATTAATTTAATAAATACATTTACTTTTGAGACAGGGTCTTATTCTATAACTCAAGTTCTGGCCTGAAACTCATTTTGTAGCCTTGGCTGAGCTCAAACAAGCAGAAATCCTCCTGCCTCACCCTCCTGAGTGCTTGGATTTCCAAGTACAACTATGCCCTGTCTATAGACAAGTTTTTATTTGAACATTAGTTTTTAATTTTCCAGGGTCTAAAGCAGGAATAGGATTGCTGGGTGACTGATAATTTTGCAAACTCCAGTTGGAATGATCTTACCCTCCCTTCTCTTTATTTGATTTTTTTAGACAGGGTTTCACTGTGTAGCCTTAGCTGGCCTGGGACTCAGAGATCCACCTGCCTCTGTTTCCTGCTGGGATCAAAAACGTGCCAGAGCAACTGGCTAAAGTCTATTTTTACTTTATTTATTATTTCTGGAGACAGAATTTCACATAGCCCAAGCTACTTTGAACTTGAGATGAGGAGCCCAGAGTGACCTTGAACTTCCAATCCTCCTCTTGCTTCCACTTTCTGAGTGCTGGGTTACAGGTGTGTACCATCTCGTGTGGTTCTTCTTTTTCTTCTTCTTTCTTCCTCTCCTCATCCTCCTCTTCCTCCACCACTCCCTATGACGTTAAAACCCATTTCCAATAGCTTGGCAAGGAAGCATGCTGGTCAGACCAGATGTTCCACGAGAACATGGCATCCACTCAGTGCTGAGGCAGGTGACTAGAGCTTCTCACTGTGTGCAGTACAGTGCAGGGAGTCCTTCCTGCCTGAAGACTTGGATTCTGGGGTCCTCTTCATCGTCGATGTGTACCCCCCCCCCCCCCCAGAGACTTCCACCTAAGAGGCCGTGTGATAAAGGCTCCTGCAGTCCGGAGCACAGCTGCCGCTAGCCAGGGTCTGTGGGGGTGCAGGCCACTGGCGCCACTGGGTCTCCTGTCCCCTGGGAACGCTGGCCCAGAGGCTCTGCACGGATCAGAGGAGGAAGACAAAAGCCCCTTTGAGCAAAAGGTTACAGCTCAGGAGGCCACAAACAAGCATGTGAAAGGCAGATCACGCCTCCAACCAAATGGGCAGGAACCAGGAAGCAGCTGCTGATCTGTGAGGCCTGGGAAAAAGCAAGGAGCCTGGAGCGAGGACTCAGAGGACACTCCGTGGGGGCGGGGATGACAGCAGGCCCTAGGAGGCCACCCATAGTACCCTGCTCACTCTGGTGGGCTTGCAAGGTTTTAGAGGACATCCTCTAGGGCTAGCTGGCCTCTGTCCAGAAACAAAATTCATCAATGACATACCTACTGGGGATGCCACTGGGCACTTGTGAGGACCAATGGGGAACAATGTGGCTGTTTGCTTTTCTTTCCAGCAATGGGACAGTGAACTTTAGGGTTTCTAAAAAATCACCCAGGTTCCCTTTGGGCCTCTGGCATTCAGTACAGGGCTTTCAAAGTTGACCATCTGTTCATTGAGGAGATGGAGGACTCTGGTTCTTTGGGCAGTGGGACCTAGACTCTGCCCAGACTTCCTCTGAGCTTCCTCCAAAGGCCCAATAGGTGGAAAGTTCCAAAAGTTTGTATTGAACACATCTCTGGGTTTGTCTTAGAGAAGGATGTGGGGTGTCCATCCTGCAGCTCAGATACAGTCCAGACGTGGCCCAGGGCTCATTCTCCATCATCCCTCTGGGGAACAGCTTTTGCATTTGTAAAAGTAAAAAGAAAAAAATGCCTAGATTTGGCCTTCCACTGAGGATCCTTGTGTCCCTAAAGCTGTGGCAAGCCAAGAGCTCCTGAATGTCTCTTGCACCTCTGGGGTCACCAGCCTGGCCATACCTGGGTGTGGCTTACTCCATGACCACAATGGGGGCAGAGTAGAGACACTGGGGGCTGGAAGGGTCAGTTTGTCCAGGGACTTTCAATGATTGTACGTCTGTGGGCAGAACCCAGGGAGACCCATTTGGGTGTCTGTCTGTTTCCATTGTCTGAGTTGCTTGGATAGGAGGTGACATCAGGAAACCACAGTGTCCAAGCACAGCACAAGAACCTCACACATGAGTCTTGGCTCTGACTTCTTCTTCACCCAGCACCCATGTTTCCAGGCCACTCACTCTCAAGTGTTTCTCTCTCTCTCTCTCTCTGTATATATATGTGTACAGGCCTCGTAGCATAGTTGTAAGTTAGGCTATAGAACCACAAAGATGAAGTCACCATAGTTGATGTGCTACATTGTTACCATGGCAACTTCATCCGGCTCACTGTAAAAGACCACAAGGTGATAGAGAGCTTGAGCCACCTTCTCAGAGGCAGCTGGAAGGCTGAAGGATGTGGTCATCCATGGTAGGGGTTGACCAGAAGCCAAGTGATGGCCCAAAGAGCACCCAGCCTGGCAGAGACACTAACAAAAGCAGGAGAGAATATGGAGTAGCCGGTGCAATCTGAGGGTTGCCATAGGGGTGGATGGTACTACCCAAGGATTCCCCATAGAATGAACTGGATGTCTAGGGGCCTGGGGAAGGTCTTAGAAAAGTCAACACCACTGGGCATGGTAGCACACACCTTTAATTCCAGCACCTGGGATCCTGAGGCAGGTGGATCTCTGAGTTTGAGGCTAGCCTGGTCTACAAAATAAGTTCCAGGAAGTTAGGGCTACAAAGAGAAACCCCATGTCCAAAAACAACAACAACAACAACAACAAAACAAACAAACAAACAAACAAAAAAACCCCAAAACCCAAACCAACAAACAAAATAAAACAAACAAAAAATTCAATGCCACTCCTTACAGACCCCCATCACCGGGGAATATAATCTATATGGGAAGGTGGCCAATGGCTTCCCTTACGTGATTTACTATTTGCTTATTCCAAGCATCAGCATAAAGATGTCTTTCTCACTAAGACTGTATTCATCAGGAGCTGGATTAAAGGACAGTGGGCTCCAGCTTAGAAGAGGGACACTGTCCTTGCTGGCTCTGGCTGAGGTATGAATGGCATCTGGGGTTCTGTCAACTCCATCTTCCATGTCCTCTCCTCTTCCTGAATACATCCAGTGTCTCTCCTTAACTGCCTCTGATTACAGGTCACTCGTGCTTTTCCTTTGACACTGTGGACTGTGACAGCATTGTGTGTACCACTCCCCATCCCCCTCCTCCATGTATGATACACAGCCAAGCGACTCAGGGTTCACAGTCCCATGCTGAGTTTCATCCTGGCCTTGAACCTCAAGGGCAAGTCATCCAATAACATAACCGTACTTCCTCAGCACCCTCTCTCTTCAAAAACATTTTGTTTAAGGTTGTGTGTGTGTGTGTGTGTGTGTGTGTGTGTTTAGGTGCCCTTGTAAACCAGAAGGCGGCACTGGATTTTCTGGAGTTTAAGTTACAGGCATCTGTGAGCTGCCCAACATGAGGACTAGGAACTGAACTGGGTCCTCTGTGAGAACAGCCAGTGCTCTTAACTGCTGCATATTCTCTCCAGCCCCAACTACCTCTTCCCATGAGCACTGCGTGCTGTAGCGCTCCAGTGGTGGGAGGGACTTGATGAGAAGCTTATGCTCTGTCCCCACTGGTCTACCTCTTAGTTCTGGGGCCATCCCGGTGTTGGGGGGCAGGGGATGAGGTGTTGAGAATAAGCCTGGAGGAAAAATAGCACCTCATGTGTGTCTGACGCACCTCAGGAGAATCACTATGAACTTACTTAAAATGTGACTTTTGAGCTTTTTATTTTTATTTTATTTATTTTTTTGGGTTTTTGAGACAGGGTTTCTCTGTAGCTTTGGAGCCTGTCCTGGAACTCCCTTTGTAGACCAGGCTGGCCTCGGACTCACAGAGATCCGCCTGGCCTCTGCCTCCCAAGTGCTGGGATTACAGGCGTGCGCCACCACCGCCCGGCCCCTTTTGAGCTTTTTATGATTTTCTTTTTGTTGCGCTGTTCTGCGGCATGAGCTTTGTAGATGACAATGTCATATCACAAAACCAAAAGGTTGAACACATTTGGGAGACCTCTAACAGTAGACGGACGAGACAGACAGTCCCGCATCACTGGTAGCTGACTCAAGACAATCACTTGGGAAGGTCGTGGGAAAGCCCTTGTAGGGAACAGTTGTCTGGACCCCAGTGGCTTCTCAAGAGTAGCAGTTTCCTGCTCTTATCATGTGTGCTGGACCCATTCTGTAGCTCACTTACCAATGTCTTTGGCTCTGATGGCTACTGGCCTCCGTAGCTCAGTGACAAACTTCTTGGCATCCAGGCGGATCTCGATGATGTTGTTTAGCAGGGCAAACAGTGGAGCCAGAGGGAAGGATGCAACGAACAGGGTAACGAAGCCGAACTGAATGACTGTAGGAAGAACAAGCACTGTCAGCGACACAGTCACGTGCCACCCTGCCCCCAGCATGACTGCCTGGCGTCCTGTCTTGTGGAGCCCTCCTGTGTGAATCTGCCAGCAGGTGCATGAGGAGCCCTCTGGAGAGAGCCACTACCACCTTGGGCAATATCCAGGGGACTGAAGACAGAAGTCATAGCGTCAGGAATTCAACATGGCTGACCTTGAACTTGTGACAATCTTCCTGCCCCAGTCTCCCAAGTGTTGGGATTATGGCAGTATGCCGTCGTGTCTGGATTATTTATTTATCTTTGTATGTGTGACTGTGAATGTATGTGCACATGTGCATGAGTGTGCATGGAAGACCAGAAGATGTTGTGAATTTTGGTCCTTAGGTACCAACCACCGTGTGTGTGTGTGTGTGTGTGTGTGTGTGTGTGTGTGTGTGTGTGGAGGATCTTTCACTGGAACTTGGGGCTCACAGATTAGGCTGACTGACTGCCCAGGGAGCCCCTGTTTCTACTTCCCCAGTGCTGCAATTACAAGCATACCACTACCCTCAGCTTTTTATGAGGGTCTTGGGGATTGAACTCAAGTCTTCATGTGTGCAGAAAGTATGTCACATGCGGAGCCATCTCCCCAGCTCTACATGTGTCTCTAAATGTGTTCTGTTTATGCTCCCCCTCGTGTGACTCTTGAGTCACAGGTGTACATGAGGGTCACAGGTCTGACCTTATGAAATCTCTGCTCATAGGTAGATCACAGTGAGCTCATGGCCTGGCCTGTCCCCTCCCCGAGGCCAACCAAATCTCCCATGGTCAGAGGTTCCCTCGGGTCAGGAAGGTCTGTCTCTGGTACTGCGTCTCAAGGGTCCCTCCTGTCCTCTTCCATTGGGCTACGAGAGCAGGAGGACATCTTTCCTCCAAGGATTCCCCAGCCTTCTGTTTCCAGGCCTCATGCTGCTGGTCACCAGCTCTGGGCTTCTTCAGCCCTGGAAGCTACAGACAACCTGAGTCAAAACAGGTCAGGAAAAGGTCACCAGAGAAACGAGTCAGAAAGCTGGTCCAGGAGCTGTATGGCAGGACCCGGTCCAAGGGTGTTTCATGCCAGGGGGTAAATAAGGAAGCTGCAGAATGTCACCCTGTGCTCAGCTGGCTGAGTACGGCCATTGTTACCAAGGCGAGCAGGGCAGGAGGCTGTGAGAACTGTTTCCCAAGAGGTCTTGGTGAACTCTCATTGGCCCGGAAGTATGAGGCAGCAGGGTGGGGTGCCTCTGCTGAGATCTGGAGGTGCTGGGAGGTTAGGGTGGAACAAGACCAGCCATGAGCCATGGTTGCATGCATGGGCCATGGCTGCTGAGGTCCAGGCTCAGGGTTGCCAACTTAAAGTAATTTGGCACAACGCTCCAATTTACTATGCAGCCAAAGATGACCTTGAACTTCTAACTCTCCTGTCTCCCCTTCCCAAGTGCTGGGATTACAGTACAGGCCTGTACTACCAAGTCTGGTTTCTTCTGGGGATTGAACCCAGGGCCTTGTGCATACTAAGCAAGCACCCTACCATCGGAGCTACAGTCCCAGCCTTGGTTTTTCCACTTCTGTGTGATGGCACTGCCTCATCCAGCCTGAAGGGAATGAGAAAGAGACAATGGAGGGGGACGGGGACAGACTCTGTTGTTCAAGTTAGTGTGGGCACCTGTGCTCCTGTGCTCAGCCTTAGATTTCCCTAGAGGAGAAGAGAGCAGCTGATGTGACAGAGAGAAAGCCAGGTGAGGAGCGTGGCCTAGTGGGTTTCTCTGCACATAAGGCCTCTGTCCCAGAGATCTCCTTATCTCTAAGCCCTGGAGGTTCATGGGAGCCTGAGGTGAAAGTTCAGTAGCTGAGAGAAACGACCACATCTCAGTTAATCATAGGGCACTTCTCTGTGGTATCGGGTCTCCCAGAGCCTCCTCAGAGGGCAGAGGCTGACAATGGGGACAGGAGGACCAGTGCCCAGATTCTGCTGGCCAGGGCCCTGGGGCTGAACAGGGAGAAGAAAGGAGCTTGGAGTCCTGTTTGCCCCTTCACCATGCTCTCCTGAATCTTGGGGCAAGATGACCCCTGCCAGTCATGAGGGCAGTTGAGAGCAACCCGCTTAGAACCACATGAACAAACACAGAGCGGTGGAGGGTACGTGTGGGGGCAGAGTGCTCCGCAGTCTAAAGGGCACCTGCTCATCACTGCCCTCTAAGCCAAGGTTGAGGAGCACTGGGGCCACATACCAGACCTGCCCGGCCTCTCAGCACCAAGGCAAATGCAGAATCCAGAGCAGTTCCTGCCCTGCCAGGACCTGGGGCAGGCCTGATACTGAGCGTTTGAGTCCCATCCATGGTGACTGAGGCCATGTGAGTCTAAGCTCCCTTGTGCTTGAGTCTTCCTGACTGTGCTCACCCATCCACACAGCCAGTGAACATGCATGGAGCATCTGCTGTGCACTTGGGTTCATTCTAGGGGTGGGGGATGGCAGTAAAGAGTGGGAAAAGGGGGCTGGAGAGATGGTTCAGTGGTTAAGAGCATTGGCTGTTCTTCCAGAGGTCCTGAGTTCAATTCCCAGCAACCACATGGGGGCTCACAATCATCTATCCATCTATCGTGGGATCCAATGTCCTCTTTTGGGATAAAGGTGTGCATGCAGACAGAACACTCATACATAAAGAAGAAAAAAGTAAATCATAAAAAAAAGAGTGAGGGACTGAAGAAGTTAAGAGCGCTGGTTGTTCTTCCAAAGGTCCTGAGTTCAATTCCCAGCAACCACATGATGACTCACAACCATCTGTAATGAGATCTGGTGTCCTCTTCTGGCCTTTAGGCACACATGCAGGCAGTACACTGTATACAAAATAAATAAATAAGTCTCTCCCTCTCAAAAAAAAAAAGCATGTGAAAGCTGGGGATCAAGACGTCCCCTAGGATCAGGGACACTTAGCATTAAAAAAAAAAAAAGAGTGAAAAGGAAAGGTCTTCCCTCCACATCCTTCTGCAAGACAGACAAACAGACCAGGACGGAAGAGCAACTGATGGTGCCAGCTGGATTTAGAGTGGGGTCAGAGGAGGAGTCAGATCCCAGGCATAGGGGAGGTTCAACTCTTTTAGCCCCTGTGGTCAGAGAAAACCTTTTTGGGGGACCCTCTAAGCAGAGTCTTGGAGGAAGGAGAGAGAAGACCATGCAGGTATTTGAGGGACAGCATCTCAGCAGAGGTACAGTAAATGCAGAGGCCCATGGCAGGCCCGAGTCACACACCTGCAGAACAATGTGGAGTCCACTGTGAGCAGAGCGGAGGGGCAGAATGAACCGGGAAAGCCTGGAAGGCCCTAGGGCCACATAGGCTACCTTGGCTACCTCCTTGGCTACCTCTTCGCATCTTTTCACGCAGGGATGCTCTGTTGATGAGGCTTTCCCAGGCCTCACTATGAGTATTTGTTTCATGCTGGGGTCACGGCAAGCCCAGGGGGAGTCGGGTATTTTGGTGCTCAGGAAGAAGAGAGGAGCCACAGACCCAAAGGAGGACTCTCAAGGGGTGTAGCTATGGTGCCCCAAATGCTGGGACCCTACAATGGGGCTGATCTCGCTGGTGAGGGAAGCAGAGGGAGAAGGAATTGTTGCTTGGCTGAATGTGTCACCTGTGCGGCAGGTGACCATGTGCTGCCTGTCCTAGGCCTTTGGAAGACAGAGTTGAAGACAAGGGGCTATGTTTACAGACCGGAGGAGGGAGCCTACAGCCAAGAGTCTAGGCTAGGCATCTCCCGTTTCTGCCTCTGCCTGATGCTGCTGAATGGGCAAGAGGTCACGGGCATCCCAGCCTCACAGCCCTTTCCCTGTTTTCTGTCCTGGTGGCCCGCTCTGCTTCCCTCTCCCGCCTGTGTGTGTGTGTGTGTGTGTGTGTGTGTGTGTGTGCAGGAATAAAGGTCAGAAGTCAACTGCCTGTGCCCTCCCTCAGGTCCTCAGGTGTAGTCCTTATTTATTTATTTATTTACAATATCTCTGTTTGACTTGGCACTCCCCAAGTAGGCTAGGTTAGGCTGGCTGGCTTGTGAGCCCCAGGACCCTTTTCCTGTTTCCCCAGTGCTGGGATTACAAGCACACATCACCACACCCAGTTTTGTATTTTTTAAAAATGGGTTCTAGGGATTGAGCTTAAATCCCAGTGCTTAAAAGGTACCTACAATTAAACCATCTCCCCAGCCCCAGGTGCCATTTTTTGTTCTTGTTTTATTTTTGAGACTGGCTTGTAACCCAGGCTGGCCTCAAACTCAAGGGCCTCCTGCCTCAGTCTCCAAGCGCTGGGATCACAGGCAGGCATCCATTACCACGTCCAGATCCCTCGTCTTTGTCCACCCTGCATCTCCATAGCCTGTGCCCACGGCCCTGCCCCAGGATGCGACTCACTCATTTCCATGTACTCGGGCGTGAGGCCGGCGAAGGGTTCGAGGTTGAAGTCCACTTCATAGCGTTGTTTCCGCTTCACATACTCCTCGCGGTCAGAGGGGCTCTGCCTGCGCAGCTTCAGGTAGCGAATGAACTTTTTCATCTTCCTGCAGGGGGCGCTGTGTCAGCGGGCTGTACCCACCAGCATCTCTGAGTTACACTACCATGTCTGCTCTGAGCCTGAGCCACCGGTTAGTGTAGTGAAATAGGCATTATGGCATTACAGGCATCTTTTTGTTTTGTTTTTTTGTTTTGCTTTGAGCCAGGGTCTCACTATTAAGCCTGGCTGGCCTCAAATTTATTATGTAGACGAGGCTGGCTTCAAACTTACACAAATCCACCTTTCTCTTCTTCCCTGGTGTTGGGAACAAAGGCATGTGCCACCATGCTTGGTTATATGTCTGTTGGAAGGGGACTAATAGCTCTGCCCTTCTCCCAGAGGCAGCAAGGTTCTGCTGGTCTCCTAAGATGCTGAGAGGTAGGGAGTGTGAGAGGCCATCTATGGCCATGGGAGACCCTGAGAAGGACCCAGACGTGTGGGCTATCCCATGCCCCTGTAGCCTCTCCTTTGTTCACTAAGGGCCTGGCTCCAGGGAACCTGTACTTCTGAGGAGCAAGATGAAAGGGACTGGCCCCTAGCTGTCTACTCTGCCACTCAGGGGGGCCGGTACGAACTAAGGACTGTGTGGCATCCTGAGGGTGGGAGTCCATGTTGTCTACAATGGGGCAACTTTGGCTGCATGTTTCCTCCCCGCCCTCCTCACCTCCTGCCTTCTGATGTCTCCTTTCCCTGGAGGCTTATGCCTCACCGGTCACAGAGGCTATTTTGAGAGCCACCAGAGTCGCCCATCCCTCTACTCTGCCCCACCCCTACTCCAAGGCAGGTGCCACTCACGGGATGCCGATCTCGAAGAGATTGTTCTGGATCAGCTGCTTGCCCAGCATGATGATGCTCAGCTGGATACAGAGCTCCATGAGGCAGCCACCTGGAGCACACTGTGGGACAGAGGGCAAGTCAGATCTAGTCTGGCTCTGGGTCGGGGATGAGGCTAGCCCTCAACTTATGGGGCAACTCCTAGCCTCTTAAAAGTTAGGTTAAGGGCTAGGGAGATGCTGGGTGGGTAGGAGCACTTGCTTGGTACACATGGACGTCTGAGTTTGATTCCCAAGCCAAGCATGGTGGCATGTGTCTGTTATCTCAGCATCGTGGGGTGGGGGCAGAGGTAGGTGGACACCAAGATATCTCTGGCCAGCCATTCTAGTTGCAACAGCGAGCTTCCCACTCAGCGAGAGGCCCCGTCTCAAGGCATAGGGCAAAGTGGTAGAAGAGGTCAGTCTCAGGAGTCACTCATTCCTCAGGAGCCATCCAGCTTGGCTTTTAAAAGAATTACTTTTATTTTACTTTATGAGTATGAGTGTTTTGCCTACAAGTATGTCTGTGTACCATATATATGCCTGGTGCCCATGGAAGCCAAAGGAGGGCATTAGATGCCCCAGGAACAGAGTTACAGATGGTTATGAGCCACAGTGTAGGAACTAGGAATCCAACCTGGGTCCTCTGCAAGAGCAGCAAGCACCCTTAACCACTTAGCCATCCCTCCAGCCCCACACCTGGCCTTCCACACCAGACCCAGGTCCTCAAGCCCGCAGAGCAACTTCTTTACTGACTGACTATCTTTCCAGCCCTCGCCCCTTATTTTCTGATAAGCTGAGCTTTTTTATGGGCTGGAAATGTTGAACACTGACAGCCCCAAGTGTAAAGGAGCAAGCCAAATGTTTCCAGCACTGTGTCTAAGGTTAGAGAGGTGGGCACTGCCATGCTAGAGTTAAAGAGAAATGCAGCCAGGGTCTGTTTTTCCTTCTTAATTCACTCTAACCAGAGAGGGAAACAGCCAAAGGCTAACAAAACAAAATGGAGAGTAGCCCCAAGGAAGCTTTTTGAGTTATTTAAAAAGAGAGAGAAGTCAGAAAAGCTGCGTGTGGTGGCACTCGCCTTCAATTCCAGCACTCTGGAGGTAGAGGCAGACAGATCTCTGTGAGTTTGAGGATAGCCTGGTCTATAAAGCAAGTCCCAGGACAACCAGGGCTGCTGTTAACACAGAGAGACCCTGTCTCAACAAACAAACAAACAAACATGAGAGAGAGAGAGAGAGAAAGGGAGAGGCAGAAGGGGGAAGAGGGGGTTAAGTGAGGGCGCAAAAGAGGGAGCAAGGGGTGGATATGATCAAAGTATATTACATATATGTATGAACGTGTAACGAGACTCATTATGTGTAATTACTATGTACTGATAAAAACAGGGTAGGTGCAATGGCTCCATGAGTAAAGGTGCTTGTCACTGAACCTGAAGACCTGAGTTCAATCCCAGAGAACCAGGAGGTAGAAGGAGAGAACGGACCCCTGTGAGTTGTCCTCTGGCTTCTAACATGTGCTGCAGCATGTGTGTGTATACAAACACAACAAATAGGTAGATGTAGTAAAAATAAGATTTAAAAAGGAGGCTGGAGAGACGACTCAGCTATTAAGAGCGCTTAACTGCTCTTACAAAGGACCTGGGTTCCCAGTATCCATATCAGTTGGCTCACAACCAGCAACAATTCCAGGGTATCTGATGCCTTCTGGCCTCTGCGGGCACTCACACATATGTGATGTATATCGATTTAAGAAAGCACACATACATACACAAAAATAATTAATGAATAAATACATCTTTATAAAATTAAAAAACAAAAATTTGAACCAAAAAAAAAAGTATCAACAAACTTTAGGCATGACTTCCTCCCACTTTTTCCCCTCCCTTCGTGCCTTTCTCGAGACAGATTTTCACCACGTGGCTCTCAGCTGGGATGGTAGGTGTGGACCATTGTGTCCAACTAACTCTCTCCCCCAGGATCCCAGATGTATAAACCGAGACCAAGAACCAAGCACAGCATTCACCCTCTCTGCTTCCTGATCGTGCCTGTGATGCAAACTGCTTCAAGCCCCTGCTGCTTTGACGTCCCTGCCATGATGTACCCTTGCACTGTGAGCGGAAGGAACCCTCTCTCCCCTAAGCTGCTTTTGTCAGGGTGCCTTAATCACAGCAACAGGGAAAGAAACCAAGACGTTATAAATCTATGTGGACATGCGAAGATGCAGGAAAGTATTCCGGCTGGAGCGCAGAAGCGCGGAGGACAGGGAGCTAAGCAGAAGGTTGCTGGGAAAGGGAGACACATTACCTCCTCCATCCGGAAAGAGTGGAAGATGTACACATAGTCGCCCGGTCGTCCGACAAACCTGGGATGGTTGGGGTAGTGGTTAGGGAGGAGCCGGATTCAGCCCCCAGGAAGTGCCACCCAGAGGGCCTGTACTTCTGAAGTCAGAGCCACCAGGGATTTCCCACAGGCTCCTTCCTTCCCTGGCTGACTCTCAGTGCCCACGCCTATATGCTACCTTCACTCCCGTGGTGCCACCTGGCCTGTTGAGGGCACTATCAGAGGTTTCTGTCTTGGCTGTTGTCTGAGGTCTACTGGCAGAGGTCCTTACTGCCTGGGGTCTGTATTGCTAGGGACCCCCTCTGCTCTACCATCCCAGATGAAGCTAGCTCTCTCTAGAACATCAGGGCTGTGGAAGCTGTACTTCCTGTTTTCCCTGGGCTATGGGCGCCTCCCACCAACAGGAAGGATAAGGTAGGACAGAGCCTTTTACCAGAGTGGTGGAGGCAGCAGAACCAGGGTTGAGGGGTTCCTACCGGCCTTTGAAGAAGGCGACGTAAAAGATGGGAGTGTAGGAGTTCACGAACTTGAGCAGGAAGGCCTTAAAGGTTAGCCTGTCTTCGAAGCTCTTCTCTGTCTTCGGGACCTCTGAGGAAAGACATGGTAACCACTCACAGACAGCCCAGGTCAGGGGCAGTCAGCACCACTGAAGCCTGGTGGCCAGGCTGCTTGCTCCAAGGCTAGCCCTGCATAAGGGCCGTGCTGCCCACACCATCCTGCACTCAGTACTCACCGATCTTGGTGAGCCACCTGGCAATGCAGCCGTAAACCTCATCCAGGAGAATGATGACCACAAGGTTGATGATGACAGCCGTGGCTGTGACCGTAACCCGGATGTTGGACCGCACTGAGGGGGAGGAGTTCATGGCCAAGGCTGCAGCCGTGGAGATTCTGTAGATAATCACTCCTAATACGATGGCAAATGTCACTGCGATCTGCAGGGCAGGCGTGGACAAGCTTAGTGGGAATGGCAGGGGTGGTTTGGGGAAGGTGAAGAGCTCCCTTGAACCTGCCCATCTATTCCTAACCCCCAAATTTTCTGCGTCAGAACCAAAGCTGGAATTACTGGAGTCCCCACCAGATGCCAGGTGCTCTGTGGGAGTCAACCCACAGAACAAGCACAAAAGTGAGAGGATTCCAAGGACCAGAGAGGTTGTGTGGCTAGGTCAGGGGACCAAGCGCGGGGACTGGCCTTCACTAGTGGGTCCATTCAAGCCTAAAGCTTACCAGATCTATGTATTACTATCCCTTATTATCCCCCAAGTAGAGCCCAGGACACTGTAGCCACACCCCAGTGGTTGTCCTGGTGTCTGCTAGATCAGGCTGGCTACCGGGATGCTTTCCCAACCCCAGGAGATGGAGAGAGCAGACTTCCGTATTGTGTGCAGGGCTAAGCCAGGTGCCCTCACAGCCACTGTGGTCAGGCAGATGGTGGCATCCTGCAGGTCTGCTGGGGCATGGCCAGGGTCCCCTCCCCACTGCTTTCTTAGAACTACCTTCTAGCTCTTCCATGCCAGCAGGCCCTAAGGCTAGCCAAAGCCATCTCAACATTCCATGGAAGTCAGACTGGTGGTGCCTGAGAGATGGGTGGAAAGCTAGTGACAGCTTTGTTCCGCCTGCTACAGTCTGTCTGTCTGGGTTCCTTTTCCTTTTGGCGCAGATTCACGGGTAAGACCCAGTCTCTGCCCAGCCCAAGGGTGTGGACACCCCACCCTAGAGCTTGCTGGGCGAGGGTGGGCATGTCTGAGGCTCACAAAGCAGAGCCTAGCTGGGCTTCGGTCTCATGTATAGGTTTTGGCTGCTCTAGACAGGCTCTGGTCTCTGTGTCCTGGATGTAGGGCAGGTCTTGTCCTTGCTGGCATGATCCCCCAAGGCTCCTGGCATAGCCCCTGCTGCCCTATATTGCCCAGTCAGGGAACATGGCCTTTGGGGTCTCCTCAGAAGTCTTGCCCTGCACACTATGGGCCATAACCAGGCCTTTTCAGCCATCTGTTAGTGACTGAGCAGAGAAATACCCTGCCTGGGAAACCATCTGCAGCCCCCACTATGCCCTGTAAGCACAGGCATGGATACCACACCCTGGGCTGTGCCAGGGAGTGAGGGCTTTCCTTGGAACACCCCTCAAGCCTGCCAAAAGGCTCCTCCCAGCCATAAGGACGTCTTTTGTGCCAGCATGCAAGGCTAGGACGGCTCTGGCTCCGTGGTGACTCAGCAGAGGCAATCCTCCACCCTCCTCCACGGAAGCCACAAGCCCTGTGCCCTACGCCTCTGGCTGCCTGTGCACACTAATGTCTTCAGGACCAGAACTGGTGGGACATCACCATCTGTGGCCTGAATGGAACTCTGGGGTCAGGGACAAAGCTGCCTCTCCATTAGCCCGTGAGCCTGATGTGTGACACGATTCTCTTCTGGGAAAAGACAGCCGTCTGGTTTTTTTTGCGCACGTCTGTCTGCCCTGGCTCCACACACCTACCTGGGCTAGATCACCGTGAGTTCCTTATTAAGCCTTTCTGCTGGGCAGGTGGGCGGAAGAAAGGTTCTGACCAATGAGATACATTGGGGGAGGGTCTTTTGAGGACTCCCCCTTCACAGACAGGCAGCCTCTGCTGTCCTTCTAGTGCTCAACTTGCAACCTTCTGTTTTCCTTACAGGAATGTAGAACTGACCTTGGAACTGGGTTGCAACCAGAATAAGTGAGCTGAAAGAAGTCCAGAGAAGCCAGCACCTCTGGTCACACGCAGCCCTAGGCCACCCGCCCTTGTCCTAACCTTCCCTGGTCCTTTTGCTAGGAGCAGCTGGGCTCTGGGGCTGCTGGGGTCTCAGTTCCCCTTGCCTTTCACTGGCTGAGGGCTGGGGTGTCATTCTGTGGGTATGTCTCAGAACCTGAGGGAACATGTCACTCTCAAAATGAGGCTGAGAGTGTGTCTGGAGTCCCAGGTACTTGAGAGGCCAAGGTTCAGAAGGCTCAGGGACAGCCTGGGCAGCAAGACGTCATCAAACAACCCAAGCAAAGGAGGCTGAGCTGGTCTTCCTGTGAGTCCCAGCTTCACCAGGGAAAGGAAAGCAGACTGGGGATCCCCACTGTAGAGGCCGCCTCTTTCTGGATCCTCTAAGACAGTTGAGGTTCCCCCGCGGTGTGCAACAGTGTATGGGGTCGGGGTGGGTGAAGCTGAGGCCTATACTTTTTTTCTGTGAGGGGGGCACCATGCCCAGGAAACCCACCCTGGCTCAAGGCTATCTATCCATCTCATATGAAACATATGAAATCTTGGGGCAAATGAAGAAATGAGACTCCTAACTTTGTCCCTACTGGCTGGCATTCCAAGGAACAGCCTCTGAACCAGTTTCCTTGCTAGCAGTGGAGTGGAGTCGGGCCTGGCTAGCTGCGAAGATTGACTGGGTCATTCAGTGAGTGACCCAGGGAAGCCCCGAGGCAGGTGATTGATGGAACTCTGGGGCTGAAAGGCTAGGCAGCTCTGCCAGGATCTCATCAGAACCTCCCAGGCTAGACAAAAGGTGACTGACTACAAGCGGCCCCGGACACCTGAAGGTTGAGAAAGGTACAGGTGGTTTGAGGGAGAGGCCTGGTGACATCAATGGGGATGGGAGTCCCCTGGGAGCCATCGGCATTTGCCGGGTCATCTGAATCAGCTCAGAGCCACTTGTCCTGTTCTTCCTCTTTAAATTCTTTTCTTAGATTGTGTTTTGAGACACAGTCTCACTATGTAGCCCAGGCTGGCCTTGAACTTGTAGCAATCCTCCTGTTTCAGCCTCTTGAGTTCTGGGATTATAAGAGTGTGCTGCTGTGCCTGACCATCTGGTGAAATTTCTTTACTGGTTTCCCTAAAATTGTCAGAGGAGATCCCAGTGGGCGCCACCCCACACTTAGTGAAGGCTGTGTGTCCCCAGAGTCAGATCACATACCCCAGGACCACCACAAACCCAGCCTGTTCCATCTCTGGGATAGAAGAGGGAGTTCCCCCCCCCCCCCCGCCTCTATTCCAGGAGTCAGGGCCACTGTGTCTCAAGATGAGTGCAGGGCACCTCTGATTCCCAGCCCCTCCAACCTTCTAGAACTTACCATGAAGATGATGGAGACAAGGTTGGTGAAATAGGCTGGGAAGCGATCCCTCCAGGTCAGCTTTACCTTGTCTGTCTGCAACATGAAACCATCTGGTCACTTACTGGGAACCATCCCAGTGGGTGGACAGCAGTACACACAGAAACTCAGAGAAACCCCCAGAAGATGCTGAGCAAACATGATAGTCTAGTGAAAGGGGAAGCACGTAGGGCCTAGTGCCCCTTGAACAGGGTCACAAAGTGACAGAGAAGGTAGTGGCCTTGGGGGCTAGGCCTCCTCTGTGCATGGGCATGGCATTGCCCACTGCTCCCTAAGAACTGTATGACCTGAGAGGGAGCTGCCCACGACTGAGACTCTTCTTTCCTGCAGTTTTCTGTCTAGGGCTACAGGCCGTTGGGTTGTTTGCAACCGAGACTGTAATAGCTATTTCCCCTCTTCCCAAGCAGGTGGAACAAGTGCCTGAGCAGACACTTGCTGGGACAAGTGCCTAGCGCTGCTCAGAGCGCCATCAGGCCATGGTGACCTAGGGCCACATCGCTCGGAGAGGCTCTCCTGGGCCCTGAGCTGGCTGGCCTGGAGGGCCTTGGGGAGCTAGGCTGGGCAGTTTCAAGCGTGTTGGGGAGGGACTTTCAAAGACAAAAACACACACTGGAGCCCAGCATGCTGGCACGGATGTCACTCGGGAGGTCACTCATTCCAGCGGTGTCTGCATGCACACTCACGAGAAAACAAGAAGCAGTCGTGGACACCCATGACAGGCATGTCTCCAGAGCCCACACGAAGCTGCATCTGCTCCCTGTGGATCCCTGATGGCCATGCAGTGACATTGCAACACATGGCAAACTGCGGGTGGAAGGCGAGGATGGGACACACATGGGAATGTTCCAAGAACACACCACAGAGGTGGCCAGGGATAGACACAGTGACCAAGAAGGCCTGCAAATGGTGTCAAGGCTCAAGATGCCCCAAAATAGAGAAGTACCAATTTCACCCCTGCCATGGCTGTCCTAACCCTCTGCTTCCATTTGTTGGTCGGTTCTTCTGGACCATTCCGGCGCTTCTGAGGGTGGGTGGGGAAAGAGAGCACTGGATGGTGGAACTGGATGGAGTACTGCTGATATTGGATGGGGATGTGGGTCTAGGCAATGGCTCACCCTTCCTGTGAACACTATTTTAAACAACTCAATACACAACGGAGACTCAATTCAAGGTCAGGGCAAGGGGAACTAGAAGTTTCTAGAATAAAGAACCCAGAGAATAGTCCCCATAGGCTCCCTCAGCATCATATCAAGCTGTGACTTCCATGGTTTAGAGCACAGGAAACATGGATCTGTCCCCACCACCATCCGGGGACGACAAGAAAAAAGGACACACAGGCTGACATGCCAATCGGTAGTGGATCTGTTTCAATAAACTAATTTCATGGGGCTGGGACTGTAGCTGGACCCCCAGCTCCACATAAACACGCTGTGGTATCATACACCTGCAATCCCAGCACTCTGGAGATGGAGGCAAGGGGATTAAAAATTCAAGGTCATCCTCAATTACATAGCTAGTCGGAGGTCAGCCTGAACTACGTAGACCTTGTCTTAAAAACAAAACTGTGGGTCAGTAAGAAGGCTCAGTCAGTAAAAGTGCTTATGACCAGGCCAGATGGCCTGATTTCAATACCTCAGTTCCCACACTGTGGAAGGAGAGAACAGACTCCTTAAAGTTGTCTTCTGATATCCTTCACACATGTGCTGTGTCATACACATACAAATGTAAGATATAAAAAAGAACAAAACCACATGAAGTAATTTTGTTCCATAGTGGGGGGGAATCAATGCAAAGCAGCCACTGGGAGCCACGGGAGACAGGAGAGAGAATGTGGCCATACGAAGCCCACAGGCTCAGGGCCACCGTCCTCCCAGGAGCCTGCAAAAAACAAACAAAACAAAAGCAAACAAACAAAGAAAAAAACCAACCCTCCCAACATCTTTGTGGCTGGCTCTCTCATGAGCCAAGAGTGGGGCTGAAACTGAGTCTGTGTGAGGCAGCTGCTGTTCTGTGAGTCGCCTGCTGTGATGAGTGTGGTGTGGCGTGTGGCTGCTGCAAATCTCTGCTGTTTTATGAATGAGTGAGACACTTCTCTGTATTCATTCCAATCTAAGATGTGTGGCCAGAGAGCCACTGTCCCACAGTTCTGGGAGACTGAGGCTGACTTCTGAGGTTTCTCCACCTAGGCTTAGATCTGGGGAGGTGCCCTGGAGAAACGATGGAGGCTTGTAGGGTCTTACTCAGGGGCCAGCAGGCTGTGTAGAGACAGAACTGCTCGGCTGATCTGGTAATTCAGACAGATGGCTTCTGGCTGGTATTTCCAACCCATGAGCTGCATGTGGCCTACCACGGCTATGGATGTGGCCCAACATAAAATTGTAAACTTTAAAAGCTATGATTTTCCTTTTTGCTATTCTGTTTGTAATTTGATTGTAAGGTTGTCTCAGCTATGTAAATGACAATGTTGTGTCTTGGTGTCAGAACACTGGACACGCCTGCTTGCTTATATAATTTCTTTCTTTTTGAGGCATGGCTTCAGTGTGTAGCTCTGGCTGTTCTAGAACTCACTGCGTAGACCAGGCTGGCAAAGACCTGCTTGCCTCTGCCTCCTGAGCACTGGAATTAAAGGTGTGTACCACCACACCTGGCTGTGATTACTTTTTGCACCCTTGAGTCCTGCTCAGTTCCTTTGGGATGTTCTGGGAGAGCCTTTGTGGCTGTGGGATCTTGCAGCCTCTGCTGTGACCAGAGGCTCCATGTAATTGTGACAGTCATAACCCTCAGGGTACTTGGTACCATGAGCTCACTGTCCCAGGACACAATGACAAGGTAAGAGCCCAGGGTTTGTCCTAGTGACTCCAGAGGCCAAGGATACAAAGACGTCAGGAAAGTCGTGAGCCTGGAAGAGTATCTTCTAACTGCCTAGTACTGTCCAGTACCAATATGATCTTCTCCTACCTCAGCGAGGAGCCAGCAGCCTGGAGTTCCTGGCCTATCCCACGTTACGTGAAAATCAGAGGTGTGTAAGAATGTACATTACACGTACAGAGGAGGTGTGCAAGAATGCACACCACATGTACAAGCTGCCAATCAGAACAAGAGACTTGGGGACAGTTTATTATAAAAGACAGTGGCCTGAAGCCCATCACAACACCCACATCTTCTCCCTATCCTTGTCCTAGCGAAAGGAGACAGTCAGGGACCTGGGTCTACAAACGGACCCGATTCATTGTTCAACACAGAACACAGGTTTCACAGGGTGGGGTAGCAACTGAGGTTCCAGTGTGACATGTTTGCTGAAGTTGAGGTCACTTTTGGGATACAGGGGACAGTCTAGAGCAGGGTTAGGCTAGTTCTGGCCCTTTGGTCCAATCTGCCCTCTGACATGTTCTTGTAAATAAAGTTTATAAGAACACAGACTTTCTCATTCACCTTCTGTCCACAGCCCTACTCACGCCACAGTGGCAGAGCTGAGGAGCTGTGGTGCAGGCTTACACAGCATAAAGTGTTTACTATCTGAGCCGAGCCCTGGTCTGTAGAGAGCACACAGTATCTGCTGATACCTGTCTACACCTGGGAACACATAGCTTTTTTCTGACTCCTGGTCATAGCTGGTAAGTGTTCAATATTTATTGAATCCTGACTGTACCTGATGAACCCTGCTCACACCTCAGACACACACCTAGTCATACCCAGACACAGTATTTACTGACCCATGGTCATACCTCAGACACAGTGTTTGCTGACTCCTGGTTACACTTCAGACACAGTATTTGCTGCCTCCTGTTCATACCTCAGACACACGTTTGCTGACCCCTGTCCACAGCTTAGACAAACATTTGCTGATCCATGTTCACAACTCAGACACAAAGTATTTGCTGGCCCCTGTTCATACCTCAGACACACAACATTTGCTGATCCATGAACACACCTCAGATATACAACGTTTGCTGGCCCCTGTTCACAACTCAGACACACAGTATTTGCTGACCCCTGTTCACACCTCAGACACATAGTGTTTGCTGACCCCTGGCCACACCTCAGATTCGCAGCATATCACTGTGGGAAGTTAGTAATAGAACCTGTACCTCTTTGTTTCTGGATTCTTTTCTCAGTGACTTCTCTAAGACTCTGGCTTCGTACTCAGCTCTAGGATGATCCTGAGGAAGACAGCAAGTCAAGAGAGGAAGGGTTAGTGTTGAGACCACCTTCTTCCATGTGAGTCCATGTATTTGCCTCAGAGACCCTGGGGACCAGTTCACAGCGGTCTGTCACATTTCCAACATCAAACTCCCTATACTTGACCTGCATCTGGGCCCAGGACTCCCCCCTCTCTTAGGAACCCCAGCTCAATGGAATGGCCAGAGGGTCTGGCTTCTGTGTCCTGCAGGAGGTCTTGGCTGTGCTAGGCTTCAATGAACACCCAGCTGTGAACTGACCCTCTGGAACTTTCTGTGGAGTAGCCACGGGGGTCAAAAGAGACGCAGCAAGAGGCAGCAAGCACAGGCAGGCTGGAAGTACCAGGCCTCGGGGAGCCCAGCGCAAGTCAGCAGAAGGAGCTGGAAGGAAAGATCAGGTTAGGTGAGACGGGGAGAAAGCAGAGCCCAGGTGAGAGCCACGAGGAGACGTCTGGTGGAAAGACAGGAGCACGTGTGCCAAGGTCCCTCTCCCCAGAGACAGGCTAGAGGAAGGCAGAGTAACCAAAAAAAAAAAAAAAAAAAAAAAAAAAAAAAAATTCCAAACCTTGACAGCTTCCTGTGGGGAACCGGGAATAAAGACAAAAACAGAAAGAGCCATTACTGATCTTGTTTATTCACAGAGCCAGAAGGATGACAGCGTTCAGCAGAACAGGGGTCTGGATGTTTGCTGCTCCCAGACCCCAGTTTTGCAAGCTCCCCACAATTCTCAGGTTCAATGGAGATGCACACAGGATGGTGAACTGGATCCCTCCCACTTCCATTCATCCTGGGGTTCAGACAGTGGGTAGGGGGTAGGATGGTGGAGGCAATCTCTACCTGAGGCCACTCGTTCCCCCAAGACTGCAGTCGGCCACAGGGCATCTGTGGCTTACTTTGGGGAACTCACTTGGGTTCAGTGGGGTTGTGTGCCCAGTGACCTAAGGGATATCTCTTAGAAATCAGGCCCTAGGGATCTTGGAGCCAAGAGATCAAGGTGGAAAGTGGTGAGTCACTCCCTCTGCTTTCAGGACACCTTGGGAGGGTTTTCTAAGCCACCATGACAGTAAGACCTAGCTGGTGTTTCTTCTATTAGAATTGTCAACATGGAAACGGAACCAATGAGAGGGCCCACTGAGGCCAGGGCTCCTGACTTGTACACTGAGTGCCAGTCGCTTGTGAAATGAGCTCACCGTGGAAGAGGGCAGACCCTGTTACACAGGTGGGTGGCAGGCGAGGCCCAGCTATAGCTAGAGTAACTCTCTGGAAAGCTGTCTGTGCCCCGGGTGTAGCTATGACTCAGCAGAGACCTCCACAGTCTGGGCAAGTGAGGCTTGCTCCTCAGTGTCTACGGGGCAGGACATGGCACTGGGCAAAGAGATGTTAACCAATACGCCCCAGGTTACACAGCAATGCTGGTGTCGGGTCAGTTGAAATTGGGGATTATAGTCCCAAATGCCTGGCTTACAACCGTGACCTAACTGCCCAGCTGCTATGACACGGAGAGGAACTATGGCAGGCTGTCTGGAAGGTGTATGTGGCCAAAAGTGACCTACAGATTGGGGTCAGGAGTGGGTGAGCTATGAGAGTTTTTTAAGGGCACAGAGCTGGGCTCGGTAGCAGCACTTGTCTAGTGTGACAAAGCCCTGGGTTCAAGTTCCAGTGTGCGTGCGGGAGGGGAGGGAGGGAGAGAGAAAGAGAGAGAGAGAGAGAGATTTGAAAAGGCGCCTCACTTATAAAAAGTAAGTATGGGAGAGGCACTGGCGATGGAGCTGAGACGGAGTGTTTCCGAGCCTGCATAAGGCCATGGGTTAGATCCCTAGTATTGAATAGACCAGATGTGGCAGAGCATACCAGTCTGTAGCACCAGCACTCCAGAGGGCAGAGCCTGGAGGGTCAGGAGCTCAAGGTCATCCTTGACACGCAACAAGTTGGAGGCCAGCCTGAGCTATGTGCGACCATTTCATAGAGGTGGGTAGGGGAGAGAGAAAGAAAAGAAAGACAAAAGAATAGACGAGGAAGAGAAGTAGCCATTTGGTGTGTCTCAGCTCTGCAACCCAGCTCTCGGGAGGCAAGGTCCTGAAGACTGTACTGTAGAAAGTGTGAGGCCATCCTGGGCTACAGACTGAGATGGCATGTTGCACCAGGCCATGGCACTGCCTCAGCAGGGCAGGGAACAGCCTCTCTGGTCTTTTTGGGGGTTGGGGGCAGTACCCCTTAATCACCCTAACAGGGAATTCCTGCTGAGATGGCAGTCAGGGGAAACTCACTCTCCCTGACTCCAGGGCTAGCTAGCACTGTGCGCACCCTCTTTGGAACCCAGCCACATTTGCAGTGAGCCTGGTAAAGATCTGCTGGGCTTCTCAAACTCCCCTGACTGCAAGCTGGGGGATGGTTTGGACGGGACACAGAGAGGAAGGCAGCCTGTGGACAGCAGTGATTTCCTGGCCACACCCCACAGCCCCAGATGTGATGAGGTCAGTGTGGGGAACCCTGGCCAGCACCCGAGCCCACACTGGTGGGTGTTGTGTCTTTGAAAGCATGGAGACAGAAAACACTGGCAGATGGAAAACAGTTGCCCTGGCAACCAAGGAATACCAGGGTGATGAGTGGAGGAGCCACAGGAGCCGCGCCTGGGACCAAGGGCCAGTCAGGACCTGGGGCCTTCACGTGAGCCAGAGGAGGTGGCAGATGGGGCCTTGGGGAGGGCAGGCACAGCCACTCACCTCCTCCTCCTCGAAACCTGTCAGGTCCCAGCGGTAGTTGAGTCTCATCTGCTTCCGTTTCCAGTGCTCCATGAAGGTGGCAGCTGTGGGATGGTGGGAAGCAGTCAGGGCCACTGAGCACCCTGGACAACACAGTGACCAACGATACACAAGCTAATGGGTTCAACCCTCTCATTGACCCTGCTTGACCACTGCTTTCCCACTCTGCAGATGAGGAAACTGAGGCAGGTGCAAATTCTGGCCAAGGTCACTCAGTCAGGCAGAGTGACCCACTCAGTGGGCTGGGTCTAGGTCTCTGGTAATCTTGCTCATTGTTTTTGGAAACCCTAGGGCACGAGTATAGGTTTTGGAGGGAGGGTTAGCTAGGCATTCACACTAGCATCTAGCCCTGTAGGCATCCCCTGTGTCTGTCCACTGAGTGTGCCACTAGCCACTGTGTCCCGTGCTATTTATTATTTAGAGACAGGTCTCACATACCTGAGGCTAGCATTGAACTTGCTGGGTGGCCGTGGTGGTTCATTTACCTGCCATCTTGCCACAATCGAGAATCACTTAAGAAAAGTCTCAGGCCGGCAACTGTAGATATGATCGATCTGTGGGATGTCTGCAGGGGGTGTCGTGACTGTCAAAGGGCACCCTGAGGGTGGGTGACACCATTTCATGGGCTGGGCCTTAAACTAGGTAGCTGAAAGCAAGCCTCAGGTCTGCATTCACCCTGGCTGTAGTCATTCTCTCGGCCCCTGACCGTGTGAGACTTGTGACTGCTGTCCCCCGCTCCCACCTCTGTGATGGACGGTAACCTGGAGCTCTGGGACAAATGGACCCCTTTCTCCCTAAATTGCTTATGTCAGGGTTTTGTTTTTGTTTCTCAAGACAGGGTTTCTCCGTGTAACAGCCTTGGCTGTCCTGGAACTCACTCTGTAGACCAGGCTGGCCTGAGTGCTGGGATTAAAGGCATGTGCGGCCTCTGCCTGGCTATGTCAGGGTATTTATTGCAGCAACAGATAGAAAATTAGAGCAGTAGCCAAGCTGGCCTTGAACTGATTTTCCTGCCTCTACTTCCAGAGTGCACAGGTGTGGACCACTACATATAAATCTGTGTTATTTCCACACAGACTGAATGTTCAAATGCCACTTTTTTTTTTTTTTTGGTTTTTCGAGACAGGGTTTCTCTGTGGCTTTGGAGCCTGTCCTGGAACTAGCTCTAACTAGTTCTTGTAGACCAGGCTTGTCTCGAACTCACAGAGATCCGCCTGCCTCTGCCTCCCGAGTGCTGGGATTAAAGGTGTGCGCCACCACCGCCCGGCTCTCAAATGCCACCTTCTTCAGGAAAAGCTGATGACACCCCCACCCCCAAACACCCACATACACATCCAGGCTCAGAAAACACCAGCCAAGGGCTGGAGAGATGATTCAGTGGTTAAGAACACTGGCTGCTTTCACAGATAACCCAACCCACATGGTGGTCACAACCACCAGTAACTTCAGTTCCAGGAGATCTGATGACCTCTTCTGACCTATTAAAGTAACTGCACCCATGTGGTACACATACATACACTCCTGCGTACACACATACATATAAAATAAATAAATAGTTAGCCTGGAGGTGGTGGTGCCCACTGTTAATCTCAGCACCTGGGAGGCAGAGATGGGCGGATCTCTGAGTTTGAGGCCAGCCTGGTCTACAGAGTGAGTTCCAAAGGATAGGCTCCAAAGTTAGAGAGAAACCCTATCTGGAAAAATAAAAAACAAACCAACAAATAAATAAATAAATAAATTTTAAAAGAAAACACATCAGGGGACCCCTCAGAGGAGGCTGTGCTGCAGATATGGCTGGAGCATCTCCCAGGACTCAGTGCTGAAATCTAATCACCACAGTGAGCTTTGAAGACAAAGGAACCTAATCCCACTGTGCTGCTGCTCAGGGGCGGGGCCTTCGGGAGGCGATAGTTCATATAGGTATGTGGGATGATGAAGCCCACTGAACAAGCCCCTGTGGCTCTGTAGAAAGAGGGAAGACATTGTTTCCTGTCTCTTGCCAAGTGAGGCCCTGCATTGCCCTATGACGCTGCCAGCAACAAGGCTATCCCCAGAGATGGGCTCTTAACCTTTAACCTCCAGCATCATGAATGAAAACAAATCTCTTTGCTTTATGAAGTTACCTACCTCAGATATTACATTGTTGTATGAAATCAAACTATACTGGATGAACCCCAAACTTCATCTGTGCTGTTCCTGCCACCTTCCAGGACAATCCCTGTCCATGCATGTGACCTTTCTAGGTATGTGGGGGCAGGAACAGGGCCTAGTTGCTCTGTCCACAGTACTCGGCAGGGACCTGACCCAGAGAGGCTCTCCTGTGTGGACCGGCAGTTTTATAAACACACAGCTTGTAAAGGCAAGTTTTACAGGCTCAGAAAGTCATCAGAGGCAGGGGGCTGGACACAGTCATCAGAGGTTGAGATTCTCAGGCTACCACATGCAAGATGCTGTGCCAAGAACTGCCACACGAAGCGTGTGTCTCTGTGAAAGTGTGTGTCTCTTTGGTTATCCACCAGTATTGATAGCCCAGTACTCTACAGAGGAGGAAACTGAGGCTCACAGGACACAAACTGCTGTTCTGTTAAGTGGGACATCAAGACAAAAATAAGACATTCCTCCCAGATGGGAATTCATGGGGGCTTCCTAGTGGAAGTCAGAGCTGTGAGGACACAGCCACTATCACTGCTGTCCCAGGACAAAGGGAGAAGGGAGAAGCATCCTAATGCTCTTTCTCACTACTTCAAGCTATGCTGGAAAGACAGCGCAGCAGTTAGAGCACTGGCTGCTCTTGTAGAGGACCCAGGTTCAATTCTCAGCATCCACATAGCCACTCACTGTCATCTGGAACTCCAGTTTCAGGGGTTCTGATGCACTGTTTGGGGTTACCAGCCATACATGTGGTGCACGAATATATGCGCAGACAAAAATCATATATACAAAATCAAGCCGGGCGATGGTGGTGCACGCCTTTAATCCCAGCACTTGGGAGGCAGAGGCAGGTGGATCTCTGTGAGTTCGAGACCAGCCTGTTCTACAGAGCTAGTTCCAGGACAGGCTCCAAAGCCACAGAGAAACCCTGACTTGAAAAAAACCAAAAAATAAAAATAAAAAAAAAATAAATAAAAATAAACTAAATCCTACTTCTAGACAAGATTCAAAGCTGAGCCTTCTAGGATTTGGGAATGCAGGGGAACCTGGGAAATGCAGTTCCCGAGGAACGGAGAGGCTCAGGGAGGGGATGCTATTCAAAGACCAGCCTGGACATTTTTCTGAGCAAGGACTGTTAAGGACTAGAGGGCAAGAATTTAAAAGTCAATGCAAGGAAAACAGCAGCAGCAGCAGCAAACCAGCAGACAAATAGGGGCGCGGGCACTTCAAATCAAAGAGATTCCACACAGCTGAAGAAACAACCGAGCGAAGAGATGGTTGACAGAGTGCCAGTCTGTACAGGCTGCGGGCTGTTCACCTGAAATGAATTCACATGGCTTTACAAGAAACACTCTGATCAAAAACGGGCTAACTATGGTCAAAGAGCTTGCCTAGTATTCAGGAGTCTGGATTCCATCCCCAGCACCGTAGAAACCTGTAATCCCTGCACTTGGGAGGCAGAGGCAGGAGGATCAGGAGTTTAAGGTCATCCTTGTCTATACAGTGAGTGTGAAGCCAGCCTGGGCTAGTGACCTTGAATGATGTGAACAGGCGTGGTGACCCGTGTCTGTCATTCCACCCCTTACAAGGATGAGGCTAGACACTCACCATGAATTTGGGGACAATCTGTGCGTCAGTGTAAGTTCTTGTTTCAAATAAAGAATATAAAATAACCAAAACCTGGGAGCTGGAGAGACAGCTCAGTGGTTGAGGGCACTTTCTGCTCTCATAGAAGACCTGGGTTCAGTTGCCAGCACCCACATGGCAGCTCACAGCCATCTGCAACTCCAGGTCTCTTCTGCTCTCTTCTGCTCCAAGGACTCACACGTGAACACAGTACACACAAACTCACACAGCACATAGCACCCACACACAAATCCATCAATTAAAAACAAAAACCCAAACCAAATAAGCAAACGGGGTGAAGAGAATTCTCAAAGGGGGGACATGCAAATGAACAACAGGTTTGTGGAAGGGCTCAGCCTCGCTCTCAACAAGGGAACCAAAAACCACAACCACAACAAGTCAAACAAAAGATAAATAAACACAAAACAAAATCCTCCCCCATCATAGTCAGAAAATAAATGCTACCAAAAGACAAAAAAAAAAAAATACAAATGCCAGTGAGGTCACAAAGAAAGGGAAGTGTTTTCTTATGTCTGGTGGTGGGCGAGGAGCACACAGTCACAGCTCTCGCTCAGAGCAGTTCGAGAAGTCTCAGACACCTAGGGCCGGGACCACTACGCCATCAGTCATCAGCCATCCAGCAATGGGTGCCTTCCGAGGGCAGTGCCAGCAGCCCCGAGGGACGATGTCTGCACCCATGCATAGGGCAGTGCTGCTCAGTGCAGTTAAGAGGCAGAACACGGGCGGGCGCATGCTGGGTACATGCACTGTGACATATTACTCAGGATGTCCTCGTCAGACATTAGGGGGTGAAACTGTCATTATAGTCACATGGCAGGCTCAAGAGACCATGATGAGAAGCTCAAGAATAGGATTGGAGGCTAGGAAGACAGAGGCACTGTCACCTGGAGACCAGCAGCAGAGGAGGGCTAGAGAACATGGGAGCCTGCAGAGTCTGAAGGCCGGAAGAAAGGACTGTGGATGCCCCCAGCACAGACACATGATAGCTGAGAGGCCTGGCAATCTCAGGGCTCTGAGCTGAAGATGCATCTAAGTCAACACACCCAAACATCCTTAGATCCCTAGAAGAGTTCTGTGAAACCATTCCCTGCCCATGGGGAGGTAATGGGAGATGAAGGAGAAAGATGCCTCTGCCCTGGGAAATAGCACCATGGCAGAGACCAGGGCTAGGCACATCTCCACCTGCCCCTGAAGTCCCTGTTCCTTACAGTGTTGATGTCATGGCCTCTATCTCACTTACAACACA